TAAAGTTAGTTGATATAGCTTGGGGGAGAGAGGTGGTGGGTAGGGTAGGGGGTCATAGCACCAGTCCTGACCACACCAATACAGGGGAGACAGCTGACTATACCCTGCACCATCCCCTGTATAGTGTAGCCCATTACCTCTTGTTCATCCTCACTGGTTACCTAACATTAACCCTTCCACAGCGGAGGTTACCCTAAGCTGAATAAAATCGTCCGGCGGTAGCCAGAATAAAATGGCAAGTGCGTGACACGCGGTGAAAGGGGTAAGGTGATCTATGGCCCTTGTTTAGTTCAGTGTTTTGGTTATGGTATGTTAATAATAATAATAATAATCTTTGAAGTCGTCTTCCTCGCCTCACCAACAAAGCTCTCTGCCATTCATTTATTTTAACGATAACAAGTTAACTGCAGGAAGGCGTCCTTATATGGAACACAGGAACATTGCCTCGTAAACATGGAAGGTGACCACCAGACTTACTGTACGTGTTGTTATGTTGGCTAACGACATGTAGCCTAATATGTGGTGTATATAATTTACCTACACATACCGTTTTATATTGTTAGTCTTACTACAAGAACATATAATACGGAAGCTCGACACTACAGCAATGTTTCTGAACCATATTAGAGTCTCTGTATGGTGACGTTATTAAATTGTCTTGTGTGTGTGTAGTGAGTCAGTAAGGGCAGGTGTAGTATATTAAGGGTGACTCACTACAAGGTCACCTGATGAGGCTACACCATGATGTTCAATTGTTTTCTCTTTATGACCAATAAGCCATGTTGTTTATCCTTGACGTGTCATGGTGGGGGGTAAAAGAGGACAGGTTGAAGGTGGGGACGTCATGGTTGATACCGTGTGGTCGACAGGTGAGCCTTGGAAACTCACCTGCGTTGTGTTGTGTGTGTGTGTGCAGTTTTTGAGCGCCCCACTTGACTGGCCTCCACTCCAGTCGCCTTTGAAGGACACAGCAGCTAAACTGAGAAATGTTATACAGTATTTACTATCAGGTTCACAACACTGCTTCATCATCCACTTACCTGTTTTTGTCTTATTTTTTTGTTTTTGTTTTTGTGGCGTGTTTGTGTGGAGGAGGTGGGAGCCGAGTTGGAAATGTTAGTTGTGGTATTAGTGACCCCCGCGAGGCAGTCCCTGGTGAGGCTGGTGGTCCCCTTGTATTGATCACTGTCCACCACTCACCCCACTCCTGCTGGCTGCCTGCATCCCACCCTGACCCCTCCTGACCCCTCTCACCAACACTTGACCCCCTCTCTCCCTCACCAACATCCGTCTCCCTCACCAACACTTCCTGACCCCTATCTCCTCACCAACATCACCTGACCCCTCTCCTTCACCTCCTGACCCTCTCCCTCACTAACAGCTCCTGACCCTCTCCCTCACCAACACCCCCTGACCCCTCTCCTCACCAACACCCCTGACCCCTCTCCCTCTCCTCCCACCCCCTGCACCCCCTGACCCTCTCTCCCCCTGACCTCTCACCAACACCCCTGACCCTCTCCTCACCACACCCTGACCCTCTCCTCACCAACACCCCCTGACCCCTCTCCCTCCCTCTGGCTGCTCTGACTGGCTATGGGTTTTATTAAATGTAATGATATTTTTAATCTTCTGACATAATTACAACACCTGGATGGCTTCTTGTTCCTCATTACCGCAATATAAAACACAGGTGTGTATATTTATAGAGACTCGTTTGATTATATCTTGAGACGCAACCGATGTGTTTACCAATTATGGATAACTGTAATTATTGCTGTCTTGATGGAAATTAGCTCATTGTAGTTTGTTCTTTATTGTTTAGGTTTATTACAAACTGAGATAATTAATGATTACTTAATGAGATAAAATGTAATTATATAATAAGAGAAAGTGAAATGATTGAAGGGTGTGTGGGGGAGGAAGGGGGTGTGGGTCAGGCGGGTCTCCACAAGTCACTTTCAGTTTCCTTTGCTTTTCCGGACATTGGCGGAGTGAAAAAGACTGAAGCACGCCTATCTGATTCTTCCCTCGTTGGGTTTTGTGTGACAAAACCTTCACGGTTGTACAAGAGCGGGACCTCGCTATCTGCAACAACACGCTGTACCACATGGGGTGACGAATGTCAAAACCCCGTAGTCATGACACTCCCTGGTGAACCATCTCGACGCCCACTGGATATATCACCATCATCCCTGCCTTAGATTTCACTAGGGTGTGGCAAGATAGTGCTAGGCGAGTAAAACACGAGGGGCGGTGATCCTTTTTATCAGCGAGGGACTAAAATCCATGTTGAGAGGCGGGAACTGCCTGTGATAGCGTGGCACAGCACGTGAGACACCCCAGTCACTTGTGCTTTTGTCAGGAGCGGGAGAGAGTGTTAATTAACCCGTCCACCGCATTTAACACCAAGAGGGTGGCGATGGTGACGGGGAGGGGAAAGGGGTCCAAATATAACGGATAATTTAGAGTAACAATTAATGTGTTAGTTAACGGAATTTTTATTGGTTGATAACGAGGCGGTGGTGGTGTGAGGTGAGACAGGAAAAGATGGGGTGGCTTATACACTTCAGGACCTTTCGACAAGGGATGATTTAGCCCTGATGTCTCTTAACTCAATCTGGTGTAAGATTATCCGACAAAAACTTGCTTAATGGGAGCAAAGTATGAGTGAAGCTTAATAAACGTGATGTCCCTGACGAATTTTGAGGTCAACCTTGTGTGCAGGAGGGAAACATTAGCTTGGTAAAGTGTATTCGTGTGATGCGTTGTTAGCGGTAATGTGCGGCGAGGGGCCCTGCACGTCAGTGACAGTCACTCAACAGTGGCAGCGGCCCTGCCGATCTGTGTTCCCGGGGGAAAGTGGCCACCAGCGCTACTGAACACTCACCACCCACACATTTGAACACCCACCCTTGTGAACTTCCAATCATGATGCTGTGAAGAATGTGTGTGTGTGTGTGTGTGTGTGTGTGTGTGTGTGTGTGTGTGTGTGTGTGTGTGTGTGTGTGTGTGTGTGTGTGTGTGTGTGTGTGTGTGTGTGTGTGTGTGTGTGTGTGTGTGTGTGTGTGTGTGTGTGTGTGAACCTTGGGGATGCCAAGCGAAGAATAGAAACATCGTAACGTGTGTATGTGTGTGCATGCAAATGATGGTGTCTATAAGATGGAGATGATCGTGATAAGCAGTACAAAGCTGACCTGACTATTCTTTGTAAGGGAAGGTTTTAAGCCTCACGTGGATCCGAGAAGGGAATCCTTAAGATGTTAGTTACCAGGTGTGGGAGTGGACGGATATATCACACTGTTGAGGGATGTTGTTAAGACGCAGCTTGAGCCATCTCTATTATTACCCAGCATGGCTCCTCCTTCCCCTCGGTACTATAGCGTGCCGGGGCTCCTGGTCATGCAGACAGCACACGCCACCAGTCCTTCTCCCCCCACACTGTTGATTGCCTGTTGCACCTCCCTATCCTCTTCCATGCATGTGCCTTGTACATTGTCCTCCCTCACCCCTGGTCACTTTTGTCTCCTGGCTTATAATTCATTCCAGATTGTTTCCGTGTGCCCCCCACCCTCCTCCTGTCTCCGTGCTATCCATTTGGTTGTGTCTGTATTGGTTTGCCTCTGGCTGTACTAGACACTACAGACTGGGGATGGGTGTAACATTGCCTTGCTTAGAGCAGTAGAGTCTGGCTTGGTGGGCTGTAGGTGGTCAGGCTTCTTGATGGTGAGACTTATGTGGTTTTCAAGTCATGCAATATGCACCATGCACTAGCCACCCATGGGAAATTCAAGTTTAAGCTTGGAGGTCCCTGTCTGTTTGGTCCCCCTCACACCAACCAGCCACCCACAGTGACAACTGAGCATCACTGTAACTTACAGGCTCCCCAGGACGACCTCAAGACCAGCATTTCAATAAAGCTTGTTGCAGTTTATTGCAGCTGACGCTGGAGGGAAGGGTTAAACTGTCCTCACTGCCACATTATAAAGTTATGTGGTGATGGTGGCTTGTCAGGCAACTTGACGGAGGCCAAGGGTACAAGTGACCACCCCACCCTTGTGAAACCATCATTTATTAGCTTTGTGAGACAATGACTCATGGTGAGACAGTATTTCATTTCTCTGAGATCATCACTCGCCCTCTTTGTGAGACCGTCACTCATTTCGTCTGTGGGATAATCACTCATCCCTTTGCAAGACAGTCACGCAACCTCCTTTGTGAGATAGTCTATCATCCACCTTTATGAGACAGTCACTCATCTTCTTTGCATTAGTCACTCATCCTCCTTTGCAGGACAGTTACTCAGCCTCCTTTGTGAGAGATGATGACCTGGAGTAAGTCACACTTGGTGTTCTGATGTTTACACAAAGTTTGTCCCCGATAGTTTGTGTTACTGATGGTTCCAGCAACATTAGTATATCTTGGTCAACCTGTAGTGAGGGCTCTGTGAGGCAGTCCTGGGTCACCCTAGGTTTCAGAAAAATCTATCATCCCTGCTTGACCTGTAGATTATCCTCAGTAGCATTGGATATAATTATCTATGTTGACCTGGCCTCCTTCACATCAGGTCATCAGATCTCAAAGTTGAATGTAATTTGACCTCAGATAAACTGTTGTATCATTAGGAATTTTATGCTATGACTTCTCAGTTGAATAACAAACTATAAAAAGAAAAGTTTCACTTTAATAAGAACTGTGAAGGTTCTGTGAATTGGTAAATTTTCTGTATGAATTGATGTACTTTACTTTAATTTTGCACTTGGAAGAACAAAAGAAATAACTGTTTTCTAATTTGATTAGATAATTAAATCATAATATAAATACTGTAACCACTTGTATGTTAGGGATTCAGATTTAACCCACTCTATTATGAAATTGAATTTATAATTTTTTTTTATTTGAGAATGAAAATCATGTTTATATTACAGTGCACATACTATTGTGTAGAGTCCTTATTAAAGTTATGCTAAGCTGTTAGCTCTAACGATCATTATCTTTTCCAGGTGATCTAGTTGACAGCACAAGTGCCCTCTCCAACCCTTTGTTAGTAACTAGTGCGGGTGGCCTAATGGTGACCAACCCTGCCCTCTTCACGCACACTATGCTCAGTGCTGCCCCAACCCTCCTGCTCGGAAACTCTCCAGTCCTCGGGTAAGAAACACCAAAATCAATGAATACAGTACTGTACTGTATGTGAATTTTCTGTCTCGCACTGATTTCTCCATATTGTCACCAATAAATTGAATACTGTACTTGTCTTATATTGCCCTAATTTGTATGCTACTTGAGGCACATTTTCCTGCCATCTCGAGGCAGTCTCCTGACAAAAAGAGTGCAGTACAGGTATCCAACTCCCTTCAAGTTTGTACTTTGGTGACACTTGGTGGTGTTATGGCTCATAACATTATCCTCCTGACTTTATGTAGTTGAAAGTACAACATTCAGTTGAAAAATAACTTATAAAAAATATTGATATAAAAGAATGTTAACAATAATAATGTATTAAAGATTATGATGTCACTTTTCACTATAGTCTATAGCAGGGGTCACCAAACTTTTTTCACAGTGGGCCGGATAACTGAAAGAATGACGAGCGCGGGTCGCATAATCATTCTGTTCAATACTTGCAAGCCAGAATGAAAGCTCTAGTAACGTCAGAGCGTAGGCGGAGCTACCACGAGCCGGGGAAGGACTTGGGATCCTGCCCGCGGGCCGTAGTTTGGTGACCCCTGGTCTATAGGATCATCCTCAAGTCTTGATTTCATTTGAACATATTGTAACTTTTGATACAGACTACTGTTTTTTTTTCCCCAACTGGTTTATTGTTAATTTCCATTCAGGATCATTTTGAAAGTTTCCATTGATACTGACTTTTCATGTTTTGTTGTCAGTGTTTTAGGACAAATTCAATTTTGAGAACGATGATGCTTACTTTCGTAGCTGATACTGCTGGTGATTTTTTGTTTAAGTTGCTTTTTTTTTTTACTGTATTTGTTAACCATTGCAGGAGTGACTGGATGGGGCGTCTAAAAGAACTCCAGGAGCGGGGAGGTCTGGCTGCAGCGGCGGCGGCAGCAGCAGCAGCCAGCTCAGGCAGTGACATTGATAGTAGAGACTTAGATAATTCTCATCAGTATACATCTCGTAACACTGGCCAGCCCGTTGCCATGGACCTTTGTGTTGTCTGTGGTGACCGAGCTTCTGGTGAGTGAAACTTGAGTCACTGCATTAAGTGTTCATATTAAGCTGCAAGTTGCAAAACAATCTTGCAATGCATTAAACTTAAGGTTTTTATTTAAGTTTCATTCTACAGTGGTAGGAATTTGTTTATTTTTTTAGAAACATAACATAATTTTTACTCTACTTCAGATCCCATTCCTTGATATGTGGGATTTAAATACAGGAGAATCACTTTTAATAAATGTATTAACTTTTTCCACCAGGGCGTCACTATGGAGCCATCAGTTGTGAGGGTTGTAAAGGGTTCTTCAAAAGGTCAATCCGGAAACAGCTTGGTTACACTTGCCGGGGGAACAAGACGTGCGAGGTCACTAAACACCATCGGAATAGGTGTCAATACTGCCGGCTGCAAAAGTGTCTGGCGATGGGCATGCGCAGCGACTGTAAGAACGATACTAAGGATTTGTACAAAAGTTTGTGGTGTTTTGTCTTTTGTTTTCTTAGTCTTAGGCACCCTAATATTAAGTTGGTGGCCAGAGCAGGGGGTCAGTTAGAATTTGAGAGCTGCTTAGGAATTACAAATACAGTATATTGCTTATTATCAATTATCAGCCGGACTTACTGCTTGTTTTGTTTCTAATGACAAAATAACCTTTGTGTTTGCTTTCTGTTTTGTTTGTCTCATGTCTCTAGTCCATTCAACTAATAATCTTTAATGTAAATTGTCTTGTAATGGTTTATTAACAAAATAACAAGCTTAAGACAGATAATCCAAGGATGGTTTTTACATACAGTATAAACTCTAACAGAACTCTACCGGGCCTCTTAGACCATTATCTCGTTTAGTTCATACGTATAACAGACGCACCGTTTTTATTTATTTAGTAGAGATTGTTGTGTTTTTTGTTTTGTTTTTATTTTAAAGAAAAACTAAATGGAACATAGTGTAGTTTTTTACATAGTTAAAATTTTTTTAGGTTAAGATTTTGCTTATAAACACAAACTAAGTACTGTATCACTTAGATTAACAATGCAGATAAAGGCTTGGTAATATGTATATTAGAGCCCTCACCCATAGAAGTGACTGACTGTACAGCTGATCTGTCAACAGTAGTTCCTTTTAGAACACCTCATGTTAGCTTCCTTGACCCGACCTAAAGTTCCCAAATACTATTCCCCTTCCCCTCCATGCCCCTCCCCTGTGCTGGCCGCCACACCCCTGTGAGCGCACACGCCTCTGTGCATGATGCGGAGATGCTACAACCGCCCTGGTGTCTTGGCCACAGGAGCCACCTGATCTCTGACCCTACAGGACTGGTACCCTCACGACACACCTTCCTCACATAAACGTAGCCTTGCTTGTTTGTGGTGAGTGCATCCTAGTAAGTCATAATGGATGGATGCACTGTACTGATTAGCTCTCACCTTTTGTGAAAGACATCAGGTTGTAGTAAAAGTGTATTGGACGTAGGTGAAAGCGCTTCTTTCATTGGGCTTCTTGGCCATACTGGTGGTGATTATGGATCAAACTGATACATTTTATGACAGTATAATAATGGCACAGTCAAAGTGGCTTAAGTAGATTTTATATGAGGTAGAAGTCAATCTTGTAATACATTACTAGGAATATATGCCAAACACACAATGGTGTTGTGGTTAGCTACTTTAGTTATAAATTAAATTCAGTAACTATTTATATTATAGAAATACAAAATGTTATCATTACAAGCCAGTATTTTTAAATATAATATTCCAATAATGTACTGTAACCCAAATTAACATTTGCCATTTTATTCATTTGTATATAGATACTTGAAGAAAGAAATTCTTCTGTATTTCAGTATTTACATACACATATTTTAATATTTTGTCATTGTTTAGTACAAACAAGTACAATACAGTACAGTATATGTATAAATACAGGTATACCGTATCGTATACACACAACACAATTTTAACTAACATTTGCCTGGAATAATCCAACTCATGAATAACTTTGTATATAATACTCACATTGTATAGGACAAAACATTGCAGTTATAATTAAACCCTGCCAGCCAGCTACAGCTCCTGGAGTATTAACTAGTGCATGTCTCCATTGAGACACCACAAATATATGGGTAATCAGGTCAGCTGGTGTTGTGGTGGCATGATTATTTAGCATGATTGACCTGTTGTAAAGACATTTGGGTAACCATTATACAAGGTCAGGTATGATCAAGGTCACATGAGTCAGCATGTCATGACTGAGCATTCACATCCTTGCCTCTGCCTCGTGCAAAGTTGCGTGTCGCTACTCAGGCGGTGACCATATAGGTCCTCCAGGGGAGGTGTGAATCTTTTGCTTCATGTTTAGGTCACACTTGGTCCAGGTACTGACTGTGTGATGACCTTTGATGACCCAGGATTATAACTCCCCGGAGGTACTAAGCACTACCCTCTTCCCTGTCCCACTGCTCACTGTAGCTTCCCTTCAGATGATATGCCTCCTCTTTGCTTGTTATTGGATGTGCCATATAGAATTATAATTGGCATGGCATGCACCTAAAAGTATCTCAAACCAGGAATGTTAATTATTGGCAGTCATTGGAAATGGAGGTTTACAGTAGTGCAGTGTTTCAGCATGAGATGTCTCTTAACACTCCTGAAGGGATTAATGGGTTATTTCCACATTAAACCTTTCAGTAGAGATTGTGAGAGAAGAGTCCCATGTTTGGTGCAGGCATCAACTCTGACCAACACGACCCATCATAGTACACATTTGGTGTTTGGCTTTATATGCTGTACATTTCACTACAAAAGTGTCCTGTCTTGAAACATACCGTACTTTTTTTTTCGTTCATGGGTAGATTGATGGGACTGTGTTTGTCACAAGTTGTGACAATGATCTTTCTTTCACATCTGAAAACAACTGGAATCCTGAAAAATTACTTTTTTTTCTGCGTTGGTTCTCAAATCTTACTGAACGATGAGAGGGTGTCACATGTCCAAAACTTACTGTTTGGATCTTGCCTTTTCATACTCGGTTTTCTCTTGTATCCCCGTTTTTCCTCCTCTTGACGTAAATCATTGAGGTTTCGTTGCCCTCGACACCTTTCCAGTTCTGGGATGATGGCACCACCTGTTTCGGATCAAGTGGAGAATGCAGCGGGAAGGCACAGTTTACCAGATTGTAATGATGTGAGGTATCACTACCTCATACTCATTTTGGAATGATCACTTGAGTCACCATTTTTATTATTAAAATTATTTACCTTCATCGCCTTTCTATGCACCAAAATTTCATTCCTCTGCACAGACAAAATCATGACCATTTGGTCTGTTTCTTGAGCTAGAGTCTTGGGGTGCCTTTATTTTAATTTCCATTATTCCTTGTTAGTACAGTATATATAACTTAAAAATTGGATAATTCATTTAAGTTGAGTGCAGATTAAATTAGGTATATATGTATATTGTATAGTACAGTATATCTTGAAAAAAATATATTATTTTCATCATCATTTTCTAGTATTTCCGTTGTGGGTACGATGTGATAGAATATTCATTGTGTAATATAATTGAGACATATTGCAATGTTAAAAATCTGGTTATATCGGTAAGCACAGTACAATAACTTGTTGCTTCGTGTAAGTGTACAAACTGCCACAGCACAGTATAGCAGAGTAAGACATTAATCCTTGGTTCTCCATTTTTATAATATTATTGGCAACACTGTACATATTGATAGTACCATAATTATATTGATGGTAATGGTCATAATTCAATATATTCTAAAAAGGAAATTATCATCATCCTTAAAAAAAAAGTCATTCAATGTTTTAATAAAATGAAATTTGTAAAGTTCAGTTTACATGCCTGAAAATTAACCATGCACTTCTTCCTCCTGAACTCCATGGGTAACCAAACAGCAGTCCAGTCAGAGCGAAAGCCAAATAGCTACTTAGGTGCAGGAGATCGACAAGACAAGGAGGGAAGTCCGCCTCTATCATTAAATCCATTAGCGGGATTTGAGTCTCCTTCTCCCACAATGACCTCAAGCAAGACTCCTGTTGTGGGGAAGGACATTCCCTCACAACCTCCAACCAGTTTGGCTGAACTTCATCTTCAGATGGCAAAGGCCTTTGAAGGAGCCTTCAATATGGAAGCCAAAGAAACAGGTACGTATTATTCATTATTATGAGATAGAACTATGGATTAGTGCTCCTCTACTTAAGAACATTCCACTTACAAATTTTTAGGGATACAAACATCATCATTGACAGGGGTTACCTTCCAGAGCAGGTGTTTAATGTGGATGAGACTGGATTATTTTGAAGAAAATTCCAGATAAGACATGCATTACTTAAGAGAAGAGTGAACCATGTTTTAAGGCTGGACATTATTGTAGGGTATATCTGTACTAAACATCCATTATCTTTTCATTTTTTACAATATGTTTGGTATCTACAAGAGTAAAGTTGGACTTACAAACAGTTGGACTTACGAACAAGCCTCAGGAATGTAACTCTTTGGTAAGTAGAGGAGCACCTGTACTAAGAGTATAAATTTTTTCGAAGCTTATGTAGGGATGAAACCTTGGTTTAAAAAGACTGGAGTAAAAATCTGTTGGGGGGGATAATTTATTAGAATCATGTAAGAATATCTTTACTCTTTATCAGTTTCATGTGTTCGGTGCATTTGTGCCTTTAAGTGGACTCTCATCTGGATGATTCCTGTAGAGAGGAATTCCACTTGTAAACCATCATACAGTGTACTATAATATAGAACCATTTGGATAGGCTCATATAAATGACATTTTAAACAGTACATTTTTTGGAATGACACATAGAGCAGTAAAACCTTCTGCATAGATGAAATATACAGGTGACTGAACACTGCTGCTAGTGGTTTTTTTTACTCTAAGGTAGGGTTTCTTTTTCTAATGTCTCTTATTTGGCTGAACAAAACATCAGCATTAGCTATATGACATTCCAATATTAATCACAACTTCTATTTCAGACTGGAATGAGTCAAGCAATGGTGATGCTCAACGGGAAGACGACTCTCCTGCCACAAACGGTGAAGGAGAGAGACACCATCATGATAGACAAGTTAAACGGGCATTGGAAAATTTATCAAAAGTAAGTAAAATTATTAGTGAGGGAATTTATCACATAACAATACTATGCTCCCTTAACTCCTTAATGTGCAGTGTTACCATTTATTCAGTGGAAAATTATAAATACCTGTATAATTTTTTTTTCTATGGAGCTCTCTTCACTAATATGCTTGTGAGGCAAAAATTCATGTTTACATTTGTCAGCCAAGTGTCCTGGCTGTAATACTGTACAGTGAACACAGGGTTAAATTAAAAAAAAATTACCCTTCTCATTACTATAGTATATGGATTTACCATTACAGTACAGTATATTAAGAAATCAACCCAACATAATAATAAGGGTTTACTTTAGTAGGGACAAGTAGATGTATGCTGTAAATATCATAGGAAGCAAAGGTGTAAATGGAATCTCAAAATATTTTAGATATAGTATGCCCCCAAGTTCGCGGATTTTACTTCGCGGTTATCTGTTATTCGCAGGTAACACCTTGGATGTACCCAAGAATGTCTGTTGGTAGTTTTAAAGTTACTGGCATTTTCGCGGCTGGGACAAGGACTCATTCGTTCTAGAGACAGTAATTTCCTTTACCTGTATTGTAAATATGTGTGTGTGTGTGTAGACACACACACACACACACACGCAATACTACAGGTAAAAGAAATAATTGTCCTAAGGGCAAACACATAAAGGGAATATACATTTCTTTGTACACAAATGGTATTCGTGAATCGCGGCCATTTTGGGAACCTAATCCCCGCAAATTTGGGGGTACCCCTGTACAGTGTATTAATGAACTTTGTATTTGTTATACTGTATGTATAGGTTTTTATTTATGATATTATGTTTTAATATTTATTATTACTATGCAGTTTAATGGCTCAGAAAATGGAGATTGTGATGACAATGAGAGCAACAGTACATATGAATTGGATGGCCCATTGCTGGCTGACAGCCTAGTACCATTCAACTTAACTGCCCCGTCCCCCATGCCTGCCTACCTCAATGTACATTACATCTGTGAGTCGGCATCTAGATTGCTGTTCCTATCTGTCCACTGGGCTCGCAATATCCCCACCTTCCAGTGCCTCAGGTGAGAATTTCCCAAATCATTTTTTGTTTATACTGATGTGTACTTTAAGTAAAGAATGGCTGTCCAAAGCAATAGATAAATTCTGGACAATTATCAACAGTCTATCTACACATATTTCTCTCAAGCACATTTTTGTTCTTGTTAATTTGTTCCTTGCTCGTGTCCAGTTATGTTTCACATATCATCAATGTTTTATGGTAATTTTCCACACTTGAAAGTGTTAGCCAACACCAGCTCAACAGCTCCATCTGTGCTATGGTTTTCTACCTAATTCCATTAATTACTACACCGTTACTGTGGTTCGACTCATTGCTCATTGTTCCATTTACTGACACATCCTCCCCCAGATATAGTATTTGAAACGTGCCACTTCCTGTATTGAAATTGATTTAATTTACTCTGTCTCTGTTTTTTAATTATTTTTATCCATTCAGTATTTTTCATTCACCATGAAATTTGTCCTGGTACAGTAGGCTCTCGCCAATAACGACTTCCACAATAACGTTTTCGATAATAACGGTAAGTTAAAATAGATACCCATTTTCGATAACAACGTCTGGATTCTCTTGAATAACGGAAATTTCGCGGGAAGCGTCCGAGCGCATCAATGATAGCATTTGTTTGCTGCCATGTTGATGACGTAGTTGTCCACTCCGCCTCACTCTCACTGTCACACACGCTCAGTGGAATACAGCGCTGCGCCCACGTGTGAGATTTTCGCCACTATAACCAGTGGTTGTTAGAGTCGGTGATCAATAATGGCTTCCGCATTTTTGCCTGTGGGAGCTAGGGGAGGTGGTGGAGGGAGTCATTTGCCACCTGAATGACTGGGAACATTTAAAGTGAGGAAATTGAACTGTCCTGAGTCTACAGTGTGAAATATTAAGAGGAACTTAGAGGAGACCAAGAAGAGTATTGTGCTGGCTAAAAATATTTCGGTAGTGATGGAAATGCGAGGCGAGCTGTGAATGATAAAGGCGGTAGAAACAGGTTGTTAGTGATAACAGAGCATTTTCTTGTGAAATGGTTAGCTTGTAGAATGAAAGACAGTGCAAGTGTTAGCGGCCCTCAGATACGGAACAATCATCACACCAAGCACCTCAAAAACTAAGCGTTATATTACTCAAACTCTTTATTTTGATGATTGAATAGCAATTCTTTTTATTTCAGCTAACAAAAAGAGTTAGGAGGGCTTCAAGGGGAAAAAATGGGTGAAATTCTTGTGGCAGCGGCACCAATAAACCCTTTTTACATGTATTTTAATGTCACACAAATAACATTTTCGCTAATAACGGTGTTTTTCAGGCACCTATTAAACGTTATTGGTGAGAGCCTACTGTACTTCCTGTACTGTACATACTTCTCCTAAATTATTCTCTATATTTATAACTTGACTTACACAGGCCACTGGTCTCCTTCCTCCTCAAAAGAGAAAAGACGAGTACAATACTCTATTGGCTCGTTTAACTAAGTACATAAAGGGTAGATACCCTGAATCACCTATTAGAATAATGGCATCTGCAAATAACAGCTGCCTTACCACCTATATGTGGTTTATTTTTACAAATAATTATTAAATGTCATATTTACCTGTAGTTATTAAATAATTAATGTACATTCTCTTTCAGCCAAGAGACACAAGTGACGCTGGTTCGGGGTTGTTGGTCTGAACTGTTCACGCTGGGGATGGCTCAGTGTAATCGAATCATGTCCCTCAACACTATTCTCACTGCCATAGTGTCCCATCTTACACAGGCTGCTGCTAGTGAAAAGCTTACGCCATCCCGGTTTAAACAGGTATGTTTGTACAGCAGTACATATAATGATCTCCAGTGATGTTCTCCAAGGGTTGCTCTGAAATTTAAATAGGAATATAGTTGATGTAACTCTTGACATCTTGAGACTACTGTATATACTCGGTAATTTTTTTTTAGTACAGTACTACTGTACAGTATTTGCAAATTATAGAGGAGTTTGGCCAGTATGTATGTTAATCATACTTCATGTCTGATATATTTATCTACTGTATAATAGTGTACTGCATATATGCTGTACTCAACTTTTTTTTTACTGCAAATTCAATTTTTTATTGTTGTTTTCAGGTGTCTGACCACATAAATCGCCTGCAAGACTTTGTCTCTGCCATGTCTAAACTTCAGCCAGATGAACATGAATATGCATACTTAAAGACCATAGTGCTCTTCCAATATGGTGAGAAACAATAAACATTATTGCTAATGTAATCTTTGCCTTACTGAAAGCCAAATGCCAAACTGATATCAGATATATGCACTGTCACTGCAATAGAACATGTTTAATGGAGTTGTTGGAACTTGCAGTAATGAAGAGGTTAATCCATTTCTTTTGTTGGTGTATAGTAAGTTGAGTGTTTTAGACATGACAGTTGTTGCATGTACTGTACAGTACAGTAGTTACCATAATGTTGTTAGTCGAGTTAGGTGAAGAGGTGATCAAAATGGCAGTGTATCACGAAGGCAGTAAAGGATATTGAAGGCTAATGTAAGCAAGCAGAGTTTTTTTTTTTTAACTGAAACTGTTTTGGTATTAATGATGAAGAATTAGAAATTTTGAATGTATTGAAGTACAGGCTGGCACCACTTTACAAATACTTTAGGTTATGTTCCAGAAAAAGATTTTGTGAAACAAAATTTGTCAAATTGTGGTTGGTTTGTAAACACTTAAAAATGTGACACAAAGTCTTCAGAAACACAGCTTGACATGTTGAGGCTCTTTGAAAACCATAGATATACAAAAGAGAATTAAATCTCCCCGCTTCAATAGGTGGCTTAAACAAGACCAACATTTCTGAAGATTCAGGTTTGCCTCATTCATGATGTCTTTGTGGCATCTCTTCTTAACGGTACAGTACTTATTTTTCTAGGTAGCTTTTGTATTTTGGAAGTCACATGATGGTATGAAATTGCTAGAACTGAAGGATTGAGTCAGATGCAGTATCCTGTTTTCTAGTGAAACCCATAACCTGGTAGCTTGGAAACCTGCCTTCTCTAGTTGGTTTAGTGGATAAGTCAGTTGGAACTGAGATGGGAGTGGTAGGTTGGTCTTGGTATGTAACTGTTAGAGGTAGTTAAGACTTGGCATGAAGTTTGTTGATTAGGTAGGCTTGGTGCACTTACAGTAAGACCTCTTGGCCCCCAATGAGCAACTACTACAGTATACCCAGTCACCCAAAATATAGATCATCCAAGTACATACATATACTGTACTGTATGTTATACCTGTAAGTTTTAAATTGCCCTTATATATATTTTCCTTGTAATACTGTATAACTTATCTTTATGCTTTAAATACAGCTCCTCCCCGACTTACGACCTATTCGACTTACGACCTGCCTCAGTCATACCAAAATTTTGTCAAATTACGTATTTTCGAGTCCCAACATCAGTACAGACAAAATTTTCGTTTGTAATTCACTTTAAAATGGCTGGCAAGCTTAAAAGTGAGAGTTTTGTGGTGCTGAGAAGAAAAAGAGACACCCATTTTAGATTTTCTATGTATTATTTAAGCATTTTCATTTTATTACCATTTCGACTTACGACCTGGATTTTGGTCCCTAACCCCGTCGTAAGTCGGGGAGGAGCTGTACATTAGTTTTCAGTGAAAATGACGACTGGACTATATAACCTATTGTTTCGGAATGAGGTCAAAACGTGTAATTTTTAAAAAATTCATACAAAGGTACTCTTTCACATGCTGGTTAAGGATTTGGGTTCCGAATTAAAAAATTAGAGTAAGCAGTGTTAATTAATAAGCTTTGAAATAATTTAATACAAACAGAATATTTAAAACAGGAAATACACAAACAATGGAAAGGTAGTTCCTCCAAAGTGTGTAGTTTGTGTTATGAGAGAAGCCTGGCTTTGGACTCTTCTACAAAACAGAACTTAGGAATAATCATTTATTCCTACAAACTGAGTGGTTGATAGAAAGGGAGAGCTAGGTGGATATAAAATATCACTCTTTCCCAAATAAAAAAATGGTAGATAAATGAAATAATGTACAGTACAGTATACTGTATTACTCATACTGAGAAGCACAAAGAATATACAGTATTCCAATATACCTTTTTACATCCACAGAAAATGTCCTTGGAGTAAAGCGAAACCAGATAGAACGGTTGCAAGAGCGAGCAGCCCAGGAGTTAAGGCATCATGTTGATGATACGTATCCAGAAACGCCCGAAAGATTCTCCAGGCTCCTCCTTAAGTTGCCAACGCTCAAAGCACTCCAGCCGCAGGTAAATACCTTTTCTTGCTATTTTTCTCATACTTGGTCTTTTCTTTTTTTGTGGGCTGTAATGTTATTAAAAGATTACTTTTCCATTATAATCATACTTCTCTGCCACTGAGAGATTGATTGACAAACCTGCTGGTTATAGAACATCTCCATATTGCAGTGAGTTTCAAAATGTATAAAAAGAGAAGGACCTCAATATATAGACACCTTTTAGTTTATTTATGGCTGAACATATTGGATATAAAATTTTATGTACAGTATTTCAAAAGTATATTTATACTGTAATACTAACATTACTGTATTCATCTTAAATGAATGAGGAACTATACATTGACAGTAATTTACACATTGCTCTTATAGTGAAGCAGTGAGGTATTTCTGTATTTTGTTCAGTGTAAATAATATATGTATATATTTTCCTTTTCACAGGTGATGGAGGAATTATTTTTTGCTGGCCTTATAGGGAATGTGCAGATAGATTCTGTTATTCCATATATAATGAAAATGGAGATGGCTGAATAGTTGAGTGGAGTGACAATGGCACAGAATTGTTGGCCAAAGAAAATATAAACTGTTTTTAAGATACTGAGAGTTTGGGAGTGAATTAATCTCCAAAAACAGACAGTGCTCTAGAAAGTATGTGGTCAGCTTCCTGAAGCGTAAAGAAAACAAAAGACATTATCCAAAGTTAAGGTGTGTGGACCTCGGGTGTTGGGGCAAGTCGCACTTGTTCAAATAAATATAAAATAACGTGGTAATGGCCTGCCTGGATGGTGATAGGGTGAGGATAAACACATTCAGAGAAAACCAGTGACTATTGTGCTGTGGATTTGTACTTGATGGGCTTTTCTTAAATAGAAGAGGTCGAGCTTAGAGGTCATTTATTCTCATGTATTTAAAGTTTGCTGCATTTACATTTCTGTCAATGGCTAACTTTGAAATACGTGCTGATTACTGTTTTCTGGTCTCGATTTTTTCACGTTCATCTCCAGTGGATCAGGGTACTTTCATAAGCATTATTTTAAGTATATTTGCAGTTGATGTACAGCATGTTTTTCAACACATACAGCCCATTACTATGTAATAAAATAAGGCTGTTGTTTATTATCAATACAGAAATGTGATTATAGGCCAGTTTTTGCAATTGCTCGTGTTCATGGAAGACATTGACCAGATTACAGATAGGCAACTTTGCTACAACAAGGCTGTGTGTCAGTGAAGCATATTTTTACATTTAAGAATGTAAATATGAGCTTTATTGAGACTTAGTACAAGGTTTACAGTTGTTGATCTCACTACAGTTCATTACTGCGCATGGAAACTCCCGGGGCTTCCATGAATTTAGGCATGACCAGCAATACACATTGATCTAAACAGGTGTTAAAAATCAATACCACTTACTTTACTATACAAATCCTTGTAATTTGGTCAACAGTTGCTGGTCAAGTCGTTATGGTGTGGGATGATGGATGAAAATTGTAACAACACAAACTTGAATAAAGGCACAATTTCATAAATATATACAGCATGTCACCCTTAAACTGAGTTTGGTTACCATTTTCATCAATCAGATCACAAAATTAAAAGATAGGGTCCAGATAACAATCTTAAAAGATTCTCCGAAGAAATTATCATATTTTTGTTTCATACAGGCTGAGAATAAACCCTTCTCAAATTATTATACTACTTGTGATGTTTCTAAAAACAATGTTAACAAAAATGGGCAAAGGGCATACAATATCGTTACTGGTTTAGATATATTCCTGCTCGCATCCTTGTCAAATCATGTGAGTGGAATATTTATTAATATTCAATTTGTGAGAAATGGCATACAGGATGTTAATTTTCACCAAACTCACTTTACTGTCACCAGACTACTGTATTCCCCTACCAAAAAAAGTAAAAGTGGCTTGCAAAGTACAGTACAGTAGTGTTCACTTCCACTTTAGATATGTAAATTGGATGAGAGTGGGAATATGATGTGTTATACATATGAATTATTTTACATCCAAAGTACATGAGGAGATCCTGTTCATTGATTATTTACATATGTTATGCAACTGCAAGGTGTATCTTATTTCTCTTTCACTAATGTTTTTACATATAATAAGGATTTATTATTTTCTTGTAATATTCTGTATATAGGGTGGTGCTTTTTAGTGAACATATTGTCTTCATCTAATTATCTTTTACCAAGATTATTTAGGATTTTTTTTTTAAATAGATGTTACTGTAAGATTATGTCAGTATTATTTGTGACAGTGATGGGTGTAGTTTTATGTAATTTTCCCCCAAAGGAATACTTAAAACACACATTCAGTTACATTGTCACTGTTTAACATCTTTCTGATTTCTGATTTTGGTCTCCTTTTCATGTTACTCAAACAAGTGATGATAATTTCTTCAAAAGCAGTTTTTATCTGTTTATGCAGATATAATTTTTCTTCTAAGTTGCAGTAGAGAATATTTTTTTTTTATTATTAACTGCATGAACAGAAATTTCCTTTTCTTCTTCAATATTGCAATCAAGTTAAAACTTAGTGGAAGTTACTTTATGCAGTTCCTTTAGCTGCAGAACAAATATACAACTGCTCCTGATAATTACTCTAGTCTGGCCTCATCAGATATGTTTGGCATTATAATATTGCTTTAGATTATAATATCTTGCTTTTCTTTTATTTGTCAAGTCAAACTGGTTGTAACGTCAAATGTTACCTATGACTGATTACAATTCAACACCGTTTTAGGAAAAATTACAAAAGTGGTCTGCTATTGTTGTATATATTTGTTAATTGGAACAGCTGTTTCCAATATATTGTTTTTTCCTTCTATTTTTGTGTTCCAAAATTTGGTGTTCTAAGCAAGTCATTAAATGTACAACAGATACAGTAAAATAATGAATACCAGATTTTTTACATTAACAAAGTTAGAGAGTTTGTTTACTCATTTGATAGAATAAAGAAAAATCACTTGCCAGGGACAAAGCCTCAAATCTTGTAGTCATGTCAGGGCCACAGCACACAACAATGATGAATATGATCATTGACTTTGTTTGTCCTGCTGAGTTTCAGTTTAAAAAAAAATGTATTTTTTTATTTACTGTTTAAGAGAGATAACAGCAAAGTGCATTACCATAAAGTTTACACAAATACCTTTCTTACTTTTATAATTCTTGAGCTTTATCCCAGCTTATGGTGGGTCGAGTGTGATACCCCCACCAAGATTGTTAATTTACTAAGGTAAAAAGTTATTAAAATAACATAAAGGCTGCATCATAACTGGTCCTTACACCAGAATCACACATGGGTGAGGTGGCAAAACCCTTGTTAATATGTTCTGAACACTTTTCACCGGTGAAAAAAATGTGCACGTAGTGAGTAAATTTTACAGTTCTGACAGGAGCAGCAATTATTAGTTGTCAGGATAAGGTCTTGTAACCTGCATTCAGTAATTTTGTGAGTGGAGATCATTGCTTGCTGTGGACAATGTGAGGCCTATGCTTTTTAAACATTGTAAATTAATTTAGCCAATCACAATATTTAATGACTAAACTCTGCATAAGGTTCAGTTATTATGATATAATCAAAAATAAATCCATTCAATATCAAACAGTAGATATAAGTTTAATTCTCATGACAGGAGAAGGCAGTGAGCAATGATCATTTTATAGGGAATTTATTGAATGCAATCATGGTTACCTATAAATTATGCCACAAATAAACACTAACAAATGCTAAGAATTGCTGAGTCTGTCCCAAAATATAGATATTATTTTATTCAACAACACGGTGAGAAATAATCCCGGCAATTAAATCATGCAAGGTTCTTCCGTTATATTGAGTGAATTATCAAAAGATAGACTTTCATAATGGAAATGCCTTAAGAAATACAAATCACATTTTTGTATATGAAAGATTGATCATATTTTTGTATGAAATTTTGAGAAAAAAATATAAAAGTTTCTGCTGCTCATGTACTGATACACAATGGAGCTTCTCAGTTGTGGATACATTGTGTTGTGACAATGGAGATTGATCCTTGATGAGGTAATACAAAAGGTTCATGTTCACTTGTCTCATCACATAAAACACGTGAATTTGAAATGGACACAAAAGGTAATGGTAAATAATCTGATACAGTTAAGGTAATCAGGTACAATCTATATTTTATATAGTTGTGATAAACACGTTTACAAAATATTTTGCATTCTGTATATTTTGTGTCTCTTTCAAATGCTCTGTGTTTTTATCAATATATTTTTTTTCATGGGAAACACCCTTGTATATATCATTTAAGAACAACAATCATCAATCGTTTGTCTATTTCATTATTTCTCTATGATGTAATTATGTATTTCTTAACATAAATTTTAAAAGACAGAGTTAACTTTTCTTATCCATTCTTGTACACACACCCAAGCTTAGGCTTAAGATTCCTACATGATGCAAGTTTACAATTCGAAAGCTATACAGTACCACATAAACCATCATATTATGTTTGCTCTCGTAATTTTTCCCCCTACTTTGTGATAAACTTACAGTACAATACTAAGAATGGTACACATGTGACCTATACTTAAGCTAGGCTTCCCATATACACTCAATAAAAAAGTATGTACCACCTTGCCATGAGTAACAATATGAAACCTGGTGCAGAAACTGTAAACATCTACCTGTGGTTACCAGCATCAATTGTATGTTGCTCTTGATTCTGGCTACCCTGTGACAGTAGACACAGTTTGCCAGTGTATAGAGAATGAAATCCCAACTGACATAAGAAATCAATGCTCATTCATATTTCCGAAGTTCCTTCCTGAGTGTTAAACCAAAAACAGTATTATAAGGATGAACAAATTTGGTCTTATTACCATTGCTGTTGATCATATCCCTATCCTCATTTGCCCACTTAAAGATGGACCCCTCCAAGTTGTAAACCTCAACTGGTTTCAGAGAGTTAAAGTTAGCTATATGTTTTGCTACCCTCCTGGCTAAACCTGATGATCTATACCCCACGGAACAATAACAAATAATTTTCAGAGGTTCTTCTGAAGCACCATCAGGTGAAAAGCTGTTAGATGCTGATCCCTCTGCAGTGAGTTTAGTTCCTAAATACTCCATGAGGAGCTCTCTCAGTTTTTCATCACTAATGGAATCACTAATTCTTCTAGCTCCCTGCAAGTGACTTATTTCATATTCAACTTCATCTCGAACATCAAAGAGTATGATAATCTTTCCAGATACATGTTGATTATCTGGTGGTAAACTTTTAACAGCCTCCTCTGAAGTATTGTTCTCACTCAAAACCAGACTGTGGACTTCCTCTACAAGAGAATCACATGCCTTTACAAGTGAATCAGTATGTTGTCTAGTATTGTTAATGTCATCATTTCCCTGGTCACTGCAGCACTCTTGCTTGTGCTGGCCACAAAGAGACTCGCCAGGCACTGATAACCAGTGGGCAAGAGTAGCCGTGTCAATGTGAGTGACGTCACTGTATTTTGTGCGGATAAGCAGAAGAATAGCTTCCATCCTATAAAGTAAAGAAGGCAAGTTAAGGGCCCATAAAAATTATTATAAATATTTACTTACAATCCTATTCTCAGGATGAAGGATGTATCACATAACAAAAAAAAAATGCATTGTTATAAGTGGGGTATGCTATAACGAATCTAATTGGTTCTAGAACCTTGTTCGTTATAGCATTCGTTTGTTATAGGATTAATCCGTTCCAGGCCCCCAAATACAACCACTTAACACTGAAAAATATAATATAAAATTGTAAAAATTGTAAAAAAGTGCATAAATATGCATCTAAACCCCTGAAATAAAGAATATCATTAATATTTGTAATAATAAAACAATAAATTAGAAAAAAAAAATTAAATTATGTTCGTTGTAGGAGTTTCGTTCGTTATAGCATTCTCAATTTTATAGGTAAAACCGTTCGTTATAGGAATATTCGTAGTAGGACCCGTTCGTTATAGCATACCCCACTGTAACATCAACCACTGACTACATACATTGTTATTCATATCTAAAATATGATTATTAATGTTGAACAGTGACACCAGTGATATGTACAGGACTAAAATCACAAATTTACATAGTACAGTTTTACTGGAAATGGTGGATTTATAGAATAAAATTGACTGGGAGATAAAATCTGAATTTGGCATTCAGTAGTTTCAAAATTGGTTGATAAACACAAAATTCAAATTTATTATTGTACGGTAAATACTGTACTGCATAAAGACTTTTTACAATAACTATGGCACGTAAAATAAACCAAACTACGTCCAGAGTTTTGGCAATGCTCAGTGGTCCATTCCAGCTAATATTAGATACAGCTCAGTTATGGTTTCTTTGATTTGCCAGAGCAAAAAGGCAGCAAATTTGCTACCATAAACCTCCATCGTAGAAATAGGAGGGTAATTCTAAATTTTAGGCTAATTTGGTTGACCTAGAGCCTCAAGTATATGGAATTAGAGTGGGTTCCGTATAAAGTAATTTGGAAGCGGTAAGTAGGCCATAGCCTTTGGTAAATTAAAAAAAATCTTCCCTAAACTATGCCTGATATTATGAGACACAATATCTATTTCTCAATGGCTTTTAAAACTAAAATGTGACATACAATAGTTCAGTAAATGTTTGTTTTGATTCACTAAAGAAGCAAATAAATGCAAAGTTAATTGTAAATGACACATTGGATTTGGATTCTATACATTACAGAAACTTGTATTGAAAATCTAGAATAAGCAAATAATTCAGTAATAATTCTAAATCTTCATCAAATCATTAGTTTACTTGCTGCCACTTATCACTTAACATTTATCAAAACAAGAATATCAGTGAAAAATCCCATAAAAAAATAATCATGTCAACTAACAAAGAAACTAAAGGTGCACCCGAGTCTTGCTTTAGTTAATATACAAAAACATAATAAAACAAACCTGTCAAGACACAATACAATTATCTTATCTATAAATTATACGATACACATCTGTATTATCTTTTGATAGTCTGTCTTAAATATGAAAATCTACAGAATAAACAAACTAAAGTAATGTATTGTATTAGACACCTTATCAAAAGACATTAAATAAAACTCAATATTTTCATTTTGAAGTAATACACCTGCTTAAATTTTCCATTACGATTACATAAGAGATTAAAATATTAATGGAATTTATTCACCCATTACGCTTACATCTATTTATTTCCATGACAGATAAAACTAACATAAATCTTCAAATTACATTTAACAAAAAATATATTCTATAAACATAAATAAGAACAAAAGTATTTTAAGTTTTCCTTGAGTCCGGGCCGAGGCTCGAACCCTTGACATATGGGCGAGTTATGCCCGTTACCACTACACCAGGTGATCAGGGGTCACCAACACCACTCCCCGCTACCCTGGAAGCCTCACACCACTACTAAATAGCTATGGAGGTGCCAAGTGAGACATAATGGTAGCAATAAAGGGTAATAAATGAAGGAAGGGTAACAGAGGACAGTACCTGAGGAGACACCCACCACGTCTCCCGCCACCACTGATCATCACACATTTTATAACAACTATATTAATATTCTAATTTTATCTCATTATAAAAATAAAAATATATAATTAAAGAAAATTGGAATAGTTAGGAAAATAAATAAATAAATACTGATTATTAAAATACAAAGGACTAATTATACTGTAGTGTAGAGAGCTGGTGTAGAGGCTCAGTGTATGACAACAACACTGACCATGGCCGAGAAGAGGAAGATCAAGAAGAAGGTTCAGGTAATTCAACAAATTCACTACATACCACCTCTTTTTGCTTCTTAATTTCTGTTTAAATCAAAATAGGGGTTACAGGTCTTCTTATTATGGGTAAAAGTATTGGCTGCCATGTTTGAGTAGGGAGAGGTTAAGGTGTAACAGCTGTTGGTGTGTGGTGCTGGAAGACTAAACTGATACGTCATACGAAGAAGTTCCAGGAAGTTCATTGACTCCTCTCACCCTCTGACGTAACGGTGGTTGCTGTTAGTATGCCTGGTAGCTGCTTGGCTGCTGCTGGGGAGCTGACGTGTATGAGCCACTGTCTGACCTCAGGAAGTTTCATATCTTGTGCTCGAGTTTCAGTTGACCCATATCCCAGATATTTCTCCGGTACTTCACACTGGATCTGAAAGTGTCCGGTAAAGTGTGAAATAGTTTCCCTTCACACCTTTGGTCTTGCATAAGGTGAACTTCATGTCCAAGATTCAGCTCTCGACTGCTGATCAAGTTTAACATCATGTCCAAGAAGAGGCTAAGGGTATAGACTGTTATTTGAGTTTTATTTTAAATCTGTATTTTTAGTAAAGTTTTACTTTTGGATAACACGGGAATCTTGGGACTTAAATCCTTGCAATCAATACTTTTGACAATTTTAAGACACTTTTCTTCTCTGATGTTTCCCTTGCTCAAGACCTAACCTAACCTCCTAACTTGGGGGCTCTGTCCCACTGGACCCTCTGCATATATAATTCGTTTGCGAGGGAAACGTCTTTTTTTTTTATTATAATCTTTGCCACTTATCAGCTTACCAGCCATTTGGGCGCTCTATCCAGTGTTAGTCCAGGAGGAAACCGGGGACCGGGAAACCTGTGATGTTTGGTAGTGAGGGTCACACTGGATAGCACCCTTCTCATGTGTGTCTGGGCCGAGCTCTCAAACCCTTGACATATTGGTGAGAGTTTAGTGTGTTACTTGTAGTAAAGATAAAATTCCAAAGAATCCTCTTTTGTCTGAAAGTATAAAATATCATATTATTTAACATTGATTTTCAGGGAGACTAATTGTTTTTTCCAGCATATTTGGAACTTTTGTACAAGAGCTTATCACTAATGTAAGAAATGCAATACTATATATAAAAATCTGGTAGCAGAGAATAGCTTGTGTTTATGATCAGTACAGTATATATATATCTCACCCAACAGTACTTCAGTATGATGCTATGGAATTTACAGGCTCAAAGTAATAAAGTAAAACATAAAGGTTAACCTAAGGGCACGTATATATTCAAGTATTTTTGGATGGGATTCATACAGGTTTGTTTTTATCAGTACAGGTAAAACATAAATCCCTTGGGAAGTAAAAAAACGTGTAAACTTAGGAAAAGGACATTTTGAATTTCCATTATGTTGTTGTCAAAGTACCACATTTGAGGGAGACTTTGGGGTCATACCATAATGTTGAGCCAAGCAATGCAATTTTCAGTTGATTTTTAGGGTAACTTTCTTGAATTACTCTGTACTGTATAAAGGATTACCTGAAGACTAGCTCCCAACTGTTATTTAACCACCCTAATCTTACCATGGGTGTTAAGTTAGTACAGTATTAGGATGGTTAATCTTAAGGCGACTCCTGTAGATCAAAGAATGTTTTGTTTGGGATTTTTACTTAAAAAAATTGTTGTAGTGTATAAAATCAATATCTTGTGGGAGATCAATTAAACATTTTTTTTATGAATTTACAGAAGCAACAAGCACTTCAGGCTTTTTTTTATTAAGGGGACAGAGGTTATAGTCTAACCCATTTATAAGTACATTATACTACCGGTACTGTACAGAATATCAAATTTATTTATTCCTTGTTTCCTGATAGAGTTTCATGTTGTTTTTTATTAGAACAGATATTAAAAACACGAAATAACAAAACATCATCAAAGTGTAGAGTCATTCAAGACTTAATTTTTTTATTAGGTAAGGATTGATTAGAGTTCATCTTAAAGGTTCAAAAGTGGTACAGTAGTACTTTTAGAACTGTGTGAATGTGCGTGTGCATTAAGAAATAGGCATTGGCTAAATTACCAGTCACGGCAATAGCTGACAGGCTGTTTTGGGATATTTTGGTGGTCCCTAACCTAACATAAATTTTCTGTGCATAAATATCATCATAAGTCATATTTTTCTTTGCATACTACATTAAATACTATTACTTCTATTACATCAATAATGGACCAGTAAAATAGCCCAAAACAGGCTGCCAGTTAATGCCGTGACCGGTAATTTAGCCTAACTGTAAAAAAAACACGTACCCTGTACCAAGGTGTGTGTGTATGGGCCCCATAATCAGTGTCATGCCATCTTTGAATCTAAGAAATTGCTCTTCACCCTTTATGTACAGGGGGTCTCACTGTGCCAAATAAAATTATCTAACATTAGCCAAACAAAATATTAAAAGTGGCATCCCATAGTGAAGGGGTTAAACATGCACTGAAACTCTCATGGATTGGGAGGATTTAAATATACAGTAGTATCTTGTATCTCCCTAACTTACCTGAATCTTTGTTTACTGTATATTTAAGTGTTTGGGCTCAAATTTGGCTTGATACAGGTACACTATACACACTGGTTCTGAAAACACAGCTGTATAATGCCACCTTTGTACCCCTGAAATGGCTTCTTAACTAAGTACTTATGCAGTACTGTACAGTTATTGTTTTATTTATTACTTTTTTTATGGATGAGACACAAGTACAGTATATATTTGTAAGCATGGCTAGAGTATGAAGTGAATGTATGAGATGTTATGTACTGTATACTGTACTTATACTGCGTTGTTTGTATAATAAGTTAAACTCATGTGAATTAAGTTTGGCTATGGTTGGTTGGTTGGTAATTCATTCTTAGGTGCTGTACTGTACATGCTGCTGTTGAAGCAACTTCTTATTTTATCTTTTTCTTACAGAAGTTATTTTTTATAACAGTATCTGAAGATATAGTTAAAGAAATCTGTTGTGACTATTGTTTTATCACAGGATGACCAGGAACGCTCGGGTCCATATATAAAGCGCTGCTCACCAGACAAAAAGGAGGTGATATCTTTATGAAAAGTATTTCAAACATTTTGGAATTACTGAGTACTGTACTCCATACTTGTAGCATTTTGCTTAAATATCTCATGAACAGAGATATTATCTTACTGTTGGCTAAGCACAAGTCTCGGCTTCCGTGGCACGATGTGAATCCCGTCATCACTGATTGCTATGACTTTTTTGTATTTTTTGTGTGTTTAAAGAAAAAAATAATGTGATGTTTCAATATATATATATATATATATATATATATATATATATATATATATATATATATATATATATATATATATATATATATATATATATATATATATATATATATATATATATATATATATATATATATATATATATATATATATATATATATATATATATATATATATATATATATATATATATATATATATATATATATATATATATATATATATATATATATATATATATATATGAGAATGTATTTTATTTTAAGAAATTATCTTTGGCATGCAGCGTGTTATTGCTTGACAATCAGTTCTATAAATGTGGTGTTGAGTCCTGGCACATTGGCAACTATACTACCATACACAAGTGGTGGAATCTCAAGAGTTTTTTTTATTGTACCGTGTATTGTTTTATTTTATTATTTATTTTTTTTTACGTTGTATTAGTGCAATACTTATGATATGACATGGAAATGGAAAATTTGTTGCTCATATAAAAAACAACTTTTCATGACAAAGTTCACCTACTCGTTACTAATAACCCAATGATGTTATGTCTTTAAAAAAGAATTGATGAACAAACTTTACTGATATTTTGTTGTGTTTGTATATGTGTGCGTTAGTCATTGTATCCCTATGTAACAACGTGTAATAATTTCTAGTGAAATATTATCCCATTATCCCTCACTTTATTTGAGTATGTCAAAGGCAAATTCACTTAAAAGAAAGGAAATGTGATTGATTGATAATTAATCTGTGTAGTACGTACAGTATTATTATTATTATATGGTACTGTGATTTGGATATATGCTGGGCTCCTTGTTTGTGGATGTGTTAAGTAGTGGTGCAGATGGTTTTCATGGTACAATAGTGTTATTGGTACAGTACCGGGTATGAGTGTTTGTTATGGCAGTGAAACATACTTCATACAATTATGTACCGTACTGTATTGTATGATTATTAAGGTTTGGAATTTTTTTCAGTGAAGTAGGAATTGCACAAATTAATTTAGAAGTTATTTTATTCAGATGTTTGATATGGCAATGAAGGAGAAAGGGTTCATTCTGTTTGAGCCTTGTACAGTACAGTATATAGAGCACTAGGAGATACAGTACTGTACAGAGAAATTCTTTGCATGTTGACATTAAACAGTAAGGCATACTGTACTGTACAGTATTTGTGGGATATGGGAACAGTGTAGTGTAAAGATTTAGCTTATAAAAATCAAACATTATACAATTTTATTTTGTGGTTTAAACCTTAAATTGTAGCCATGGAAGAATAGGGTAATCTGTGCATGTGTAAGAAATGTGTTTTATTGCAGTTCTTAAACAATATAAAATTTTTGTGAAATTCTAGAGTTACGTACATATAGAATACAGTAACAGAATATGGAGAAAAGAAATCACTGTTTACTGTACAGATTCATTTGGTGGATGATTTTCTTCATGTGTAATTCCATTATAATAACATGCAGTAATGGTTTTGGAACCAAACCCCTGGTGCTTATCACCCCTTGATTTGTGAGATGTAGAATTTCCATTCTCCATGCCTGATAAAGGCTGAGTGCAGATGCTGCTCATGTCTACTTTCTTATACCTAAAACAAAGCATGGAGACATATGCTTTTAAATGTCTCGGTGGGAAATGAGGGTGTCTATTGACGTTGGCTGCGGTTTAAGGGTTAGCTAAAAAAAAGTTATACTGTACCAGGTATGATGGAACTGGATCAATAGATTCCTTCTAAAGTTACAAAGTAAGAAAAAAATAAATTGGTGATTGTGTTTAATAATTGAGTAAATTTGTCATAAATAGGTGTACAGGTAGTTCTGCTATAACGCAATAATTGTGTTCTTGTAAAATATCATGTTATAGAAAATCACGTAATAGAAATAACAGGGCTTATGGAGAAAATAGGGTTAGGTGCAGATTACTCGAAATCGAAAAAATTTAGTAGTTAGCCTAACACAAAGGATAGCACAGTCTAAATAAATGTTACATTCATATTTAATAATGAAATCATACAGTAAATGTAACACTTTACCTTGAAAAAATATGAATGTAACTTGATGGGGGAGAAGGGTGATTTTGAGGTTGATAACATCGAGCTTCTCTTCAAGTGTTATATCCTTTCTTTTACGATCATCACCGGGAATTCTATCACCAGAACGCTTCTTGGAGATATTCTTCTTTACCATATTCACAGTTAATACCACAAAATTGGAGAAATAGTAAGCAAAAATTGCGTTATAGCAAACAAGCGTTCGCGTTATACAAATATCGTTCCTAATTCATAAATCGCGTTAGAGCAAATTCGCGTTATCAAAACACGCGTTATAGCAGAACTCACTGTACAGAATTGGTTAAGAAATTGAAGACACTGTATAGCCATTTCCATAAAAAAAGAAATTGAAGTGGAAAATGAAAAGATTAAATTCAAGTTATTATGGTTATGAAAAATATATATACAGTACAGCTCCTCTCCGACTTACGACCACCTGCACTTACGACCTGCCTCAGTCGTACCAAAATTTTGTCAAATTACGTATTTTTGAGTCCCGTCAGTGATTGCGCTGTGTACTGACAAAATTTTCGTTTGCAATTCACTTTAAAATGGCTGGCAAGCTTAAAAGTGAGAGTTTTGTGGTGCTGAGAAGAAAAAGAGACACCCATTTTAGATTTTCTATGAATTATATAAGCATTTTCGACTTACGACCGTTTCGACTTACGACCTGGATTTGGGTCCCTAACCTCGTCGTAAGTCGGGGAGGAGCTGTACTGTAATTACAATAGGAAAAACCATCAAGTGTAATGAAGTGCTAGTGAACTATGCTCTAATAAATGATTGCAGTGTAAATGATGTATAAAAAAGGATGCAGAGTAAAATTGAAATGTCATGCTTGTGAGAAGTAAGAAGAGCTTGTTTGAGTTGGAAATGTCAAGATGAGAAGTATAAGTGTAGGCAAAGGATTTTGGGTGATTTGTGGTGGCACTAGGAATTAAGATTAGTGAGAGCTTGCTGGAAGGGTGTACAGTACTGTACTGGATGCTACAGTAGTTAGGTTCTTCCTCTTTTTCCTCTCTCCATTAGGATGAGTTGGGTGATAAGCTGACACGATGCCGTGAATAGTAGATTGAAGGTAATTGTGTTGGACACCAAAGTAAATTGATTTAGGAGATTCTATTCCTCATAATATGAGTACAGTACAGTACTACTAAGTTTCCCCACATTACTACTCCTCAGGAATTATTTCATCCTTTTCTTTGCTTCCTCCCTCAGTAACAAAAGATAGAATAGAGTTAGTACAGTAGTTGATGTTTTAACTTGAATTCACATTAATTTGTAAGACAGTTTTGTTTCATTACAATCTATTGTTTTAGCATCTTTGTCAGATAATTTTTTCTCTTGATAACACTTGAGATGTTTGAGTCAGTATTGCCAGTACGATGTACAGTATTGCTTGTGCTAATTGAACTTATCAAACTACCTTATTTTGTTTAATGTTCTCTGCCTTTTGACTGACATTAGATGTGTTTATATGCTTGATGACATTGTGCTTTAACTTCACAATAAGTGAACAAGTCCGTATGTTTTTATTAAGTTTGCATCTTAAAATACCTGTACGTACTTTATTTATGTACGTATTTATATTTTTTATGCAAACTTTTTTATGCATCATCTATAATTGCCACAATGTTTGGAATAAAAAAATTAGTGCATAGTTTGAATTTATTTTTGATTATGTTATTTCATTCTATTTGACTACACTTTACATCAAGGTAATTCCTGGAATTGACTCTTCAAGCACCATTGTCTGCTTATGTTGAGATATTTCTCCACTGGGATATCCTGTTCACACTTACTCACCCTCACCATTGGATATTCCCTTGTGCCTGCTTCTGTGCACCATTGTGGGCATACTTTAAGCCATTCTTCTCATTTTTGCTCCTCCATGTTCAAACTATCCTTAATCACATGGTACAGTAGTTTGTTTGAATAATTTGATGGGTTACTCAGATATACAATAATAATCCACTTCAGTGAAGCCTTTTCTGAAATTGTCTTGTTCATTTTGTTGCTCTTATGATCCTGTATTTCACTAATGTACAACGTAGTGAATTATGACATTCATTTTAGTAAAGTTTAGTTATGGTAACTATGATTTGTATTCCTTATTGTGAAAAATATGATCTAAATTCTTCAGCTTCTGTACCTTCTTGTTTGCTGGGACACTCAAATTTACTTTCTGCTTTGTCTTCTACAGCAAGTTTCTTGTACACCATAATATTGTTGATCTTCACACATCCTGTCTTATGTCATTAGGAACTGTGCTTTAAGTTGTTTGCTGTGCTAGTCACATTGTGCAATTAAGTGGGTCCTGACTATATACTGTACATCTTGATTCTCTCCAAATATGGTGACATCACTGTGCTTAATGGCAGAGTAACATTCATTTGCCACAAGGCAGTGGATACAATTTGGGCTAATAACTGGTAACTGGCAATTTTGCTATCTGTGAGCACCTCAGTCACCATCAACCTATTTTATAATCCTCCAACCATCCTTCTATTTGTTCCTAAGCTTAGTTTGTTTGTGTTATTTATTGACTTAACTAAACAAAAATTGCAGTGTGGTTAAATTTTGCATGTCCCAAGATCTTCATAGGAAGCTAATATCTTTGGCAAAATGCCTCCCCCTCCTCTCCAATCCCTACCAGCTTTGCTCTTTAATATCCAAACTCCATTTGAAAATGAACACCTTGACCACAGCTAGGTTAGGATAGGATAGGTTACAGCTTCAGCATGATAGTGACCAGCTTGTGCTCACTTTAATAAAGAGTGGGTTTAAGATGAATACTGGGTAACCTTGCAGCAGATTGTTGTGTTAGGGTTTAAGAAGTGCGCATGTGAAACAATTTCTGTAGAGGAATTGAAACCACTGTTCATATCTTGAGCATTTTTACCATTTATATTCTAAACTTGATAGCTAATTGATTATTTCCAGCATCTAAATTAAAAGAAATAATAATATCTCAAGTGACTATTTTCAAGCAAATTTCTTTATTATATTTCATGTGTTTATTTCCCTTTACAGTATTATATAATTGTTTAGTTCACTATTGTCGCAACAGTCTGATCAACTGTAGACAATTTTAGTTAAAATTTCAGATAATTTTATTTATAGAATTTAGGATTGTCTGTCTTGTAATTTTCCTTTATGTTCCTCGATTTCCCACATACAGTAATCCGTCTTTGAGTGTAGATGACATCTTTTTAATAAATGTGAGTTGTTATTTCAGGACATTCCAATTCCTGTGGAAGAGAAACCAACAAAGCAGGAATATGCTGTAGCTACCTACTTAAAGAAGAACTGCCCTACAAAGAAGACCAAGTTTCTCAACCACCCTGTTAACTATTTCTATGGTAAAGTATTCTCTGTAAAATCTGGTACATGATGAGTACTTGATCATGATGTTTTCTGGGTAAAATATAAAGATACAATACCCCACTATAATTATTGTGCGTTAGTCATTCTTTAACTGCTGAAGTATTCACCTGTTATACTTTTTTGCTCCGAGGGGTAGACATTTGTTAAGCAGTTCACTTGGTTAGGTTAAGTTAGTTTCTACACCAGCCTTCCAAGTTTCCTGTTTCCCATTTTCGTTAATTTAATTGTGTACAGTATCCTGACATTACATCTGTTCCTGTATGTTTATACTGTATTTTCAAGGCAACATAAATTAAAGTTAAGTGATAAGGTTACCACAGCCATTCTCGGCAGCTTATAGGAAAAGTACTTTATACAATACAGGTTTGAGTTCTGTTTGTTTATTGTGATTAAATTTAGTATTAATGTGTCCCCATGTACATTTCAGCAAACAAGGCTGTTGACACTCTCCTAGACTCTCAATGGGCTACAGGCAAGGACATCCTGTTCACTGACCGTCAGTCTGTTGTTGACTACTGCAACAAGTAAATATTCTTTGTTATTTTAGCTGTACAGTGAAGAAATGATATTACTCGGGCAGGAGGTTGCAAAATTTTATCAGTAAATATTCTGAGAACAACGCTTAGAATAATCCCACCATTACTTGCTGTAACAGTCTAACACTATTGACTGATATGCTCTATCGGGCACTGTCGTGATCTGGCACACTGTAACACTGCTACATTACTCATAATAACTGTCCAGCAGGATATACTGTACACTCTGTAACTGTCCGAGATTATGCACTGTTAACTTCCAGCTTGATACACTAGGTAACAGTCAAACATTAGACATTGTAAAATGTCCAACATTAAACAATGTAACAGTCCAGCATTACAACATTACACTATAACAACCCAAAATTACATATTGTAACTGTCCAACATGACAAAACTATTAAAATCCAATACTACCATTAATTAATATGAAGACTAAGAATACACACTGTAACAGCCCACCATCACTGGCTGTAACTGTCCATGAGTACATCTTGTAATAGTTTAACATTACAAACAATATCAATTGAACAATACACAATGACTTTTCAACATTGCATGTTGTAACTATCCTACATTATACCCTACACTGTAATGATTCAAGAGTAACTGCTGCAGCTGTCAAACATAATACACGCTAGCCATCTAATATTACACAGTGTAACAGATTAATATTACAAACTATAATATGTGTCCTCTTCTTTAACTGCTAATATTTGAGAATACATTTTTGTTAGAATGGTACAGTAAGAGTTCTCTTGATTGTCTGCACATGTATTCTGTATATTAATTGGGAATTACATCAAACATGATTCTTACAAAAGGAAAAGTTTTTGTGCATTAACATGGTATACAATGTGACTGAGCCGATAGGGACAGCCCCTTTTTTTCATCTGATTAAGACTTCAGCTGACTGTCCCTAGGTAATGAGCTAGGGATACCCTGTAGATGGCTGTGACAATTGCAGATGATTAAGGGATGTGGAATCACCCCAAACTGGTGTAACTAATGAATGTACAAATATTACACACTACATTTTGTAACAGTCCAACATTATACACCATAACCCTGACATTGTGTTCTGTAACAGTCCAGTATAGTATTACACTTTGTATTAGTCCATTTTACACAATGCAACAGTGTAGCACTGCATCATCATTATCACCATTTTATGGCCATTTTCTATGCATGCTTGGGTTATCCATGATTATCTGATGGCAGCTCTCCATGCTGTGCAGTTCTCTCTTCAGGTGTTAACGCTTTGTCATTTCATACAACCTTTCCCCTTATCATTCTTGCTATGCATCTCTTGGCCCAATTGGTTTCCATTCTCTCCCTATGGCCAGACCATGTTAGTCTACCTTTACACAAAACTTCACCACTGCTCTTAATACCCAGCTGGCTTTTTAGCTGATAACAGGGTTTCCTATCTTTCCGTGTTACATTGCACATCCACCTCACCATTCTTATTTCAATTCACACAGGCCTGCATATATCATCTGCCCATGTTTTACTGCCATATAACATCACACTTCTCACATCAGTTGTCTACATCTTTCCTTTCATGCAGAGGGAAGGTCTTCTTGCTGTAAATAAAGGTAACAACTCCCTAAATTTCCTCCAACCATTTCTGACTCTTGCAACTGAGCTAGCTTCAGCACCATCTCCAGCACTGATCATATCACCTATGTAGCAGGACTCACTTACACAGTCCAGGGACATGTCCCCAATGTTGAGTTTCTCCACATGTTTATCTGCACATATAGGGCACTTAGTGTCTGCTACATCATGCAATCTGCTATGTACTCCACTGCACTTCTTGTGTATCCTTCCACACTCACTGCACATTATGGAGTTGCTGCTGGAATTGGAGTGATTCTTTGTTTACTCCAAGAACCCTGAACTTCAGTGGTGTAAATCAGGATTTTATTTTATATAAGATGGTAAGATTCAATTGTTTTTAGGATTTTTTTATGTTCACCCATCCAGTGGGTAGTGACCACAAGTGGCCATCAGTGTCCTCAAAGGGTTAACAGTCTTACATCATAAATACTGTAACAGTCAAACATGTCACATTGTAACACCATACTCTATAATTCATAAACAATCCTGAAGTATAATCTGAAACCGGGTTAAGTTGGATATGGTTCGATTAGATTGGGTGTGTGTGTGTGTGCTCCTGTGTGCATGTGAGTGGAAATCTTTTGAGTTTGTGTTAATGAGGAAATTACTTTTATATAAACAAGTTTGAGTTTGTATTTTTGTGTGTTAATAAGGGAAATTACTTTTTATTTACATAGGTTTTTTTAAAGTTGGTTAATTTCTGCTTCTGGCACAATGAAATGAGACAACTTTGAAGCGTTATAAATTTTTACTGAATTATGCAAACAGTGGAATATTCACACAACTCGTAGTCAATATGCTTGAGTTGCATCTGGTGTGTGGGTACAGTACATATCATTCAGGTTTAGACAAGTTTATTGTAGTTTTTGTATTTTGTATTTGAGTTGTTGTTTTTGTATTATTTTTAAGATTAATTGTTTAAATTTTAACATTTATGATTTCCTCTAGGCTTTTGAAACATAAGTTCTTCCACCGTGCCAAGAAAATCCCCATCACTGACCGAGACCTGAAACCCAAGGATTTGAAGAAGAAAAAAGAGAAGGAGAAAGAGGAGAAGAAAAAGAAGGAATCAGAAAAGAAGAAAGACAAGGATGAGAAGAAAGTGAAAGAGGAAGAAAAGAAGAAAGATAAGGATGAAAAGAAAGTGAAGGAGGAAGAAAAGAAAGAGAGCGTCGAAGAAGAGGAGGAGTCCAAGCAGGAAGATACTAACGGAGATAAAGATGAGAAAGACGGAAAGGATAAGGATGAAGAAAAGGAAAAAAAGAAGAAAAAGAAGTCTAAAATCAAGCTGGACATGCATTTGGAACAAGTAAGTTAACGTGTGCATAAGTAGATGCAAAGAGATACATGAAGAGGACATGATTTTAGTTAACTTCTGCCATCTTGGTAGCTGTCACAGTTCATAACAGTTGATGAACTGGTAGTTGCTAAGTCAGTCACACTGCCATGTCAGCATATTTCTTCATAGTAATTACTGAAATGCAAAAATGGACTGTAAATGTGCCACTGTGGCCATGTGGCTCAGCAACCAGCACTCAGTCAACCGTTGTAAATCGTGATGGTTGTTAAAGATCCCAAAAGTGGATGAAGCTTAGAAAGTACATCAAGAAGCTTCTCAAGCCCAGTTGCAAAATTAGCTTTAGTTTGTTGTAAGCAACACAATACCTTGGTGTGAGTGTGTAACAGTAATGAGCTTTTATGGTGAGTGTGTGTCAGTCTGTTATGATGAAAGTTTCACAGTACTGTCGTATATTGAACAAGAAATTGCTAATATGATATTTGTATTTATTTCTTTATTTATTTTTCAGGTGTTTGTTGATGGGAGCGATGCTTATGTATGGATGTATGATCCCATTCCATTTTGGTATTATATTGCCGGTAGCCTCTGTCTGTTCGGCGCCATCGCAGTTTGCTTATTTCCTCTCTGGCCACCAAGTGTTCGGTTAGTTTACGTTTAATCTTGTTCATTGTAGTGTCTGTATGGGTGTAACAGAAGAATATCAACAACTATTATGAATAATTTAAGTGAATATGAATTTTAGAGTCATGGATAAAGTAGCTATTATGAAGGGAGTAGTTAGTACAGGACAAGTATACAAAACTGGTACTGGATTTGATGAGATTGTAAGAGAGATTGGATATGAGAAGATTAGTTAAGAATAGTTGTGGATATATCTTTATCATCATTGTTTTGCAGCCATTGGTGAGTGAAAATATCTGGGTTGGTTCAAACAATAACAAGTTTTGGAAGATTCATAGAATTTTTTAGCCCACGAATACCATAGAAGATTTGGAAATTTTCACTCAAACAATATACAGTACTGTAAAATCATGTTAATTTTGAGGTAAGCATTCTAATATTTTGTCTGTACAGTACATGCAGTAGCAGAGGTGACATGGTGAACAAGGCCGGCTTTCTTTATACACCTTTTTACGAACTATTCACTGATACTAAACTGTCACACACACACACACAATAGTCAATCAGTATATTCAATACCTCAGTTATCCCATCCATCCACCCCCTGTTATATGTTTGATTTATTTTACAGGAAAGGTGTATATTATCTGAGTGTGGCTGCAGCTGGCTTCTTAGGTGTGATTTTGGGGTTGGCAGTGTTGCGGTTCGTTGTGTTTATCGTCATATGGGTATTGACAATGGGTATCCATCACCTCTGGCTGTTACCGAACCTTACTGAAGATGTTGGCTTCTTTGCTTCATTCTGGCCGCTGTATCATGTAAGTTATTTGTACATAAAATTTATAATTGTCATTTATATAGAGTACTGTATGTATGCCTTTTTCCTGAGGTGTTTTCATCTGTTTTTTGTTCTTTATCATCTCTTATTAGGGGGTTTATGTAAACCCAATGTTTGTGTTATATTATTCAGAAGATATGAAGAAGCTTTAATGAAGAAAGGCAGTGATGCTCCTATTTCTCTTCTGTTCTTCATTATTTTTCATATTTTGTTAAAGCACAGTAGACAGCACATTTTTCTGTTATATATCAAAAGTTTTAAGTCACCTTTAAGACAGATAATAAGCAAATCTCACATCACTCTTGCACTTAGCACTGTTAGCAGCAAACTTGCATTTGCAGTATGAGTACCGAGGTGCAGGGTATGAAAAGAAAAAGAAGAAGAAAAAGATTAAAGAGGAGGAAGATGAAAAGGACCAAGATGAGCAAGATAAGAAATCTGATGCAGATGACACACTTGACAGTCCTGACACAGCAGCTGAGACAGATAAACATGAGACAGACATTGACAGGTGAGTGCACTTACAATTAGACAGTGGGGAGTGGGGTTTTCTTTTCTGGCTACAGTGAATAATATAAAGTCATAATTTCTTTTCTTATTTGAGTGTTACTCAAAATGAAAATCAACTTCATCTCTGTTATTCTCTGGAATTTTTAACCTTCAGGGGTGAGAGTTGCAGCGTGTATTGATTTTAATGAGTTGTTAATTTTCCTGTTCTTTACCTGTTGGCTTGGATTTTATATGCATGTTGGAAATGTATTTATATTATGAAATTAGTCTGTAAACTGTACCATGTCCTATTAATTCTTGAATTGATAATTATATTGAGGAAATTCATAACTGTAGATTCAAGTCCTTATTTCAAAGGGCGAGGTCACTGGAGGAGGTTAAATGTAAAATGTTGCTTAACTCTTACATTGGTATTCTGATGAAAGCACAAAAATGCATCGTTGGTACAGTATTGAGGTCGAAGCTTGCAAGAGAAAGTGAGAGGGAGGGGGAATGTGAAAGAAAAGAGGGAGAAGTACTGTATGTGGGAGTGTGGAAGGAATGAGTGAAAGAGAATGAAGTGTTCACTTTTTAGGTGAGAATGAGGGAGAAGTATGAGGAAGAGACTGAGAGAAGAGTACATATGTGGAAGAGAACAAGGTTGTAAATTAATAGTTGACAATATAAACTTTGTACAATTATAAGCCTGAGAGATGAACTCGTATTTCACCTGATTGACAAGGCAATCCCTCAGGTCGTCCCTCTGTAGTTAGGCTATGTGCGCTTCAGCTGTGCCTAAGAAATGCTCAGCTTGTCCAGATTGACTTAACGCTTTAGTTCCTTTTATTTCTTATCCAAGAATCCCCATGGAATATCTTTAAGCCTGTTCACTAAATTTTGTCTCATAACACACTAAAGCTGTTGTGCCCTGAGTCATCTTCCTACCTAAAGTATATTTTATCAACTTTTGCAAATTTTAATGCATTTTGCTTGAACTGTTGTACTGAAATGTAATTTAGAATACAGATAAAAATGTGGAATTTTAAAATATTACAAAAATGTGGATTTATATTGTATGTGATTATTTTTAAAGGAGTAATGATATGTAAAAGAGAAGCTTCTAGAAATGCTATTAGAACTATCTAATATTGACTTTTATAGCTTTACACCAGTATTGTGTAGTTCAGTGTAGTTAGTAAGTCAAAGGTGTTGAAACCTGAGGACTCGGGATTCCTAATGTTCTGACTGAAGTCTTAAACTTGTATAAATTTGAAAATTAGGTTATCCTTCTCTTTAATTCAGATTCCTTATGAAATATTTGTAATGAATGTACCCAAAAAGGAGAATACAGAGACTTTTTGGTGATATCATTATTTATAAGGGGTTCAACAAGCATCGGTAAGATACCGTATACTGTATACTCATCTATAAGCCCCCCTCATTTATAGGTCGACCCTGATTTTTTGATCGAGAAATCGTTAATTTATGATATTCCTCGTTTATAGTTCGACCCACGTTTTTTAGGGTAATGGAACAACAAAATCTTCAGTAAAAACGCTCTACATCCTATAAACTGAGGCTCGCCATGCCTGAAACACGAGTGCCAAAGGCAAATTGTTTACCATTTATTATTACAACACTTTACACTGAAACGCGGGTAGTTTCAACAAAAATATTGTATATTTCCATTCAAATATTTATTCAAGTCAATTACGAGGGAATATTATTGTAATACAATAGTTTTTTAACTAAACCATTGGAAAAGCGATTACGGTAACATGTTTTGAACGAAAGAATGCGAAAGTCATTGTTTTCGTCACGATTTTATCCCACTTTCCACTGTAATATTTACGTAATTTCAGCAAAAATATTACATTTCCGTGAATGTATTATATCAAGCACAGTATGAATAGAATATCATTGTAATATAACAGAATTTTAACCGAAAACTATTAAAAAAACGAGTAACATCTCAAGAACATCGGAAGCTTAGGTAAAGTCTTTTGTTTTCGTCATGTATTCTATCCTATTTTACATTGAAATACATCACGTTTCAGCAAAACTACTATTTATTTCCGAGAATATATTCATTCAGGCGCAGTTTAGGTAAAATATACGTGTGATGTAATAGTTTTTTAACTGAAAACGATTAAAAAAACACGTACCCTCTAGCCCTGTTCAAGGAGAGGACTGGGAGAAGCTGTTTGTTGCTGCAGACGATGACAAGGAAAATGAATTTGATGGATTTTAATGAAAATATTCAGAAATATGGTATCGTAGTATTTATTCAAGTCAATTAGGATAGAATATTATTGTAATACAACAGTTTTTTTTACTGAAAACCATTCGAAAAGTGATTACGGTAACATGTTTTGAACGAAAGAAAGCGAAAGTCATTGTTTTCGTCACGATTTTATCCCACTTTCCACTGTAATACGTACGTCATTTCAGCAAAAATATTACATTTCCGTGAATGCATTATATCAAGCACAGTATGAATAGAATACCATTGTAATATAACAATATTTTAACCAAAAACTATTAAAAAAACGAGTAACTTCTCTTGAACATCGGGAGGTTAGGTAAAATCTTTTGTTTTCGTCATGTATTTTAGCCTATTTTACATTGAAATACATCGTGTTTCAGCAAAACTACTATTTATTTCCGAGAATATATTCATTCAGGCACAGTTAAGGTAAAATATACATGTGATGTAACAGTTTTTTAACTGAAAACGATTCGAAAAACACGTGTACCGTCTAGCTGATACACACAACAGCTGGTGATGCGTCATGCGTCGATGTAAACAATAGGAGGTTGAAGTAGATTACCGAGTATTATATTAAGTGTGAAATATCGAAAAGGTTTTTATTTCCGGTATTTTTTGTAGATCAATGAGAACTGTGGTACCGTATATGATATGATAAGTTAGCCTGTGCTAAGAACTTCAACATAGACTACTGAAAGTACGTTGTAAGGTAATTTAGCCTATTGTAAGTTGGTGAGCTTCATTTGCTGAAGGAACTGCACAACTTTTCATTACTAATTGGTACATATTTTACGTTTCCATTGTTTACTGGCAGTAAATGGTAAATATTTTTCATGTCTGAAGCTAAAATTTGCTCCACGCCCTTCCCATCATGCACGGGTTCAACCTAACAAAACTATTACGCATGTATAGGACGACCCCCAATTTTTTGCCTAAAAATTTGGTCTTAAAAACTCGAACTATACACGAGTATATACGGTATATTAAACCTAATAGACGGACCTCCCTGGTTAAACATGTTCAGTGAGGTGCGGCCATTTTGTCAAGGGTTCAACTTCCTTAGTTACCTCTGTTAGACATTTTCAACTACTGAATTACGCTGTATCATTAGGTTCCACTTTCACTATGACTTCTTAAATGGAGGAAATTGTTGAAACCATTAAAACCTGTATACATATATTAAATAACTTGTAACTAATAGATAGCAGTGGTTCAACACAATTCATAGGCCTAGTTACAAGTCAGCACTGAGGTAACAGCGGTGGGGCAAGGTGACACACACAGCTCACAGCAAATACAATTCACCACCACATACAGCTCACTGCCTAACACAGCTCACTGCTTCACACAGCTCACTGCTTCACACAACTACCCGGCACACAGCTAACCGCCACACATTGCTCCTACACACAGGTCACCAGGCCATAAAGAGCTGTCGAGCCAAAAGTATCTCCTGTAACTTATACAATTATAGTATGGTGGAACAGGACTCAGACAAATATCCTACTTACTGGGAGTCGGTGGTGGAGAAATATATGGGAAAGTGACGAAGGAGTATTTGGGAGAGAATGAAGGAGTAGTGTAGGAGAGAGAGCAAGTGGGGGGGGGGTGTAAGTGTTAGGTGTAGAAAGTATGTATATTAGAAGTCAGTCAGTACTGTATATTGGATAAGTTTCCAGCAAGTTGAATACTTGAGGATTTGAAGATTTGAATTCTGAACATCTCTCTAGCATTAATGAAAGGGATGGTGTATTGAATGCAAGCTATTTTGTTGTCGCTTACTTATTTTCTTATATTTTTAGGGTTGCTGAGGAACAAACTGCTGCAAGTGAGACAGAGTCAGAAAATTCAAACTCGCAGGCGTTTGAAATGGTTGAAAAAGAGGATGTTGACGCTGCAGAGATCGGAGAGAAGGAGGAAGAGGAGGAGTCCGAAAAAGAAAGATGTGTTCAAGAATTGCATGAAGAAAATTTAAAAGATAATATAGAGGAGGAAAAGACCACCACTGATTCTTAGAGAAAATTAGCAGTACTTAAAAAATATTATGCCAGTGGATGTGTGTTCAGCTGGGTTAGTGGTGGTGTGTTCTGTAATGTAGAAATCTCAAGTCTTAGAAGGCATTATATTCTAGTTTCTTGGTTTCCGATATATTTATAACCAGAGAGAAGAATGGCTGTTTAATTATTTTTATATAGGATATAATCGCAAGTGAATTTTATTTTTTGTTAAATCACCTATTAGTTAACGCAGTTTAAGAGTATGTATATGATTATGTAACTCACTCATATTTTAGTTAGTGAAGTCTTAATAAGTTGCTAAATAGGCAGTGTTAATCCATTATTTGATGTGTTGCGGATTCTCTACCAATGGTCAGATGTAAGGCTCGATATGATACTGTATTAAAGCTGTCAATTGTCAGTTAAAGTGGATTCAATTCTTGTGTGTTTTTTAGTTTTGAATATATCATTTACTCTTGTCTGACTATAAAGCCAATCAGAAAATAAAAACACCAGAAATTTATATCTGCTCCAGCTTTCATTAGTGTAAACTTTTTAAATATTTAACCTTATGAAGATGACATGTGGTACTCTCATTACTATTAATTATTCTTGCAATCTAGCTTGTGTGCTTTATCTCTATATATATACTATATAAATTTTTTTAAGTTATTGATGGAAATATGATTCTAATTATTTATCATGGTGTCATTTACACTTTACAAGCCACTTAAGATTGTGACATGACTCGCACAAATTGTGGAAGAATAAGTGAAAGTTTTTCACTTGTTTAAACATGAGAACCATTATCATATATATAATATATATATATATATATATATATATATATATATATATATATATATATATATATATATATATATATATATATATATATATATATATATATATATATATATATATATATATATATATATATATATATATATATATATATATATATATATATATATATATATATATATATATATATATATATATATATATATATATATATATATATATATATATATATATATATATATATATATATATATATATATATATATATATATATATATATTTTTTTTTTTTTCATTGCACCTTATATCACTTGATTCAGACTCCTTGTTTAGTTTCACATGCAGCCAGAGCCCATTGGTGCTTTTCAAGTTGAATAAGAAGACACCATATGGTTTTCTAGTTGAAGCAACAATACTTAACCTTAATGTGATGTAAAAATAATGGAGAAGTTCATTGTAATTGGGAATAATTAGTGTCTGTGTACATTGAACATGAGCTGCTGACAGCAGGTCAATCAAGAAGTAACTGGAACTAATCAACCAAGTTCTGTTATACTGTTGTGGTTGTAAAAGATTATGAGTGGGAACAGGTGGTTGCATCATATTTTATACCAATATGTATGAAGGGTATTATTTTATAATTATTAAAAGGTAATGCTCTCACATATACATTATATGATTATCCTTTGGTCAGTGTGTCGTAGAAGGGAGGACATCACAAAGGAACTGATCTGGAAGTAGGACTAAAAAGAACGAATGAACAGCAAATTTTCTTAATTTTGACCACACACACACACAAGGTAAGGACGTGTGTAGTCGGCGCTGCCCGCTAACGCGGCCGTGGTCTCTTGACCATGGAGACAGCTGCCAGTCTGGTCTGTCGGGCCCTCCCCTGCCCCATCTCCTCCTTCCCATCTGGATTTATCAACATCCTCACACCAACAGTATACTGCCAAGATTGACGATCAACCCACAAGTGATATACAAAATTGACAATTTTAACTCCAAGGAAAAGCACAAAAATACAGCAATACTGATTGTGGCTGGATCTGACCTAACCTGACCTGACCTCGGCTTCACCTGACCTAACCTGAAGGATGGAGCACACCTGCATTACCCCAACCTACTGTCCTGGCCATGTGGCCACACACCTGCCCAACCGCATCCAGCCCATATGAGCACGAACTGATTGCTACAAGAACAGCCCAGTCCCAACCATTGTACAAATTATCAACACCTAATCATTAAATATCATATTTGTATTGTTTATGTTACCTGTATATTACTTGTAAATCAAGAGACCCATTCCCCAATTATGTAACTGTATATTTTCAGCCTTCCGGCTGCCATGCTCTTTCAATAAACCGTTCATTATTATTATCATTACACACACTACCATAGCATGAAACAAGAAATAGAGTGGAATGAACTATTACTTCCCCATATCAGTGGACCTGCACAGTAGATGCCTTGGGGTATGTCACACACTCATATATACAGTATACAGCTCCTCCCTGACTTATGACCTTCTCGACTTACGACCACCCGCACTTACGACCTGCCTCAGTCGTACCAAAATTTGGTCAAATTACGTATTTTCGAGTCCCAAAGTCAGTACACAGACAAAATTTTCGTTTGTAATTCACTTTATAATGGCTGGCAAGCTTAAAAGTGAGTGTTTTGTGCGAAGACGCCCCCAGGGGCCCTGCCAGTAGTGTTGGCACCATCAGGGATTTTCCCAGATGAGGCGGCGCCCTGAGGGGCACTGCCAGGGGCGGAGGATTCTCCCAGGGGCCCTCCCAAGGGTCGTTACGCCCCCAGGTGCCATCCCAGGGTCTGCAGTGCCTGCTGGGGCTATCCCAGGGGCAGCTGCAACCCCTGGGTGCCCTTCCATGGACGGCAGCGTTGCCAGGGGCCCTCACAAGGGCGGCGGCGCCACCAGGGGCATGATCGTAGTATCGTACATATTGCATAATTATGTCCAAGAATCCCTTTCTTAACTGTGATTGGTGGACTAAAATGTAAATACACCAAATTACAGCCAATAGGAGAACAGAGCAATCAGTCAGCACAACACCACCAACTGATGTTTTCCTGTTGGATATGTATTCTCCTTTTCACTGTTCAGGGAGGCGATGATACCTGATGTGCGATGGGCGGTGTATTTATTTAATGTCATATCACCCAGAGTTCTAAATAGTGCAAAAACAACTGGCCCCAGGGCACCTCCAAGGAGCGAAGGCGACACCAGGGGCCCACCGTAGGGGCAGCAGTGCCCTCATGGGGCCATCCCAAGGATGGTGGGACCCCAAGGGACTCTACCAGGGCGACGGCGCCCCCAGGTACCCTCCCAGAATCAGCAGCGCCCACCGGGGCCGTCCCAGGGGCAGCGGCACCCCAGGGGCGGCAACATCCTTAGGGGCCCTCCCTGGGGCGGCAGCGCCTTCAGGGGCCCTTAAAAATGCGGAGGCGCTAGCAGGGGCTTGATCATAGAGTCCTACATAAATCTTACATCCAGGAATCCCTTTCTTAACTGTGATTGGTGGACTAAAATGTAAATCCACCAAATTACAGCCAATAGGAGAACAGCAATCAGTCAGCACAACACCCCCAACTTATGTTTCCCTGTTGGATATTTATTCTCCTTTTCATTGTTCAGGGAGGAGATGATACTGGAAATGCGATGGGCGGTGTATTTATTTAATGTCATATCACCCACAGTTCCAAATAGTGCAAAAACAACTGCTCCCAGGGCACCCACCAGGGGCGAAGACTCCCACCTTAGGGGCAGTGATGCCCCTAAGTCCCCTCCCAGATGTGCTGGCATCCATAGGGATTCTTCCAGGGGTGGCAGCACCACGAGGGGCCCTGCCAGGGGCGGGTGATCTCACAGGGGCCATCCAAAGGGTGGCAGCTCCCCCAGCTGCCCTCATAAGGTCGGCGGCACCCACCGGGGCCGTCCCAGGGGCAGTGGCACCCCGGGAGCCCTCTCAGGGGTAGCAGTGTCCTTAGGGGCCCTCCCAGGGGTGGCAGCGCCTTCAGGGGCCCTTAAAAATGCGGAGGCGCCAGCAGGGGCTTGATCATAGTGTCCTACATATATCTTACGTCCAGGAATCCCTTTCTTAACTGTGATTGGTGGACTAAAATGTAAATCCACCATATTACAGCCAATAGGAGAACAGAGCAATCAGTCAGCACAACACCCCAACTTATGTTTTCCTGTTGGATATATATCCTATTTTTCATTGTTTAGGATGCGAAGATTCTGGAAATGTGACGGGCTGTATGTATTTTTTTAACGTCATATCGCCCAGAGTTCTAAATAGTGCAAAAACAACTGTTCCCAGGGCACCGTCCAGGGCGAAGACTCCCACCTTAGGGGCAGCGATGCCCCCAAGTCCCCTCCCAGATGTGCTGGCATCCCTAGGGATTCTCCCAGGGGTGGCGGCGCCCCAAGGGGCCCTGCCAGGGGCTGGTGATCTCTCAGGGGCCATCCCAAGGGCCATAGCGCCCACAGCTGCCCTCACAGGGTCGGCGGCGCCCACCGGGCCCGTCCCAGGGGCAGCGGCACCCCAGGAGCCCTCTCAGGGGCGGTAACGCCCTTAGGGGCCCTTCCAGGGGCGGTAGCACCTTCAGGGGCCCTTAAAAATGCGGAGGCGCCAGCAGGGGCTTGATCATAGTGTCCTACATAAATCTTACGTCCAGGAATTCCTTTCTTAACTGTGATTGGTGGACTAAAACGTAAATCCACCAAATTACAGCCAATAGGAGAACAGAGCAATCAGTCAGCACAACACCCCAACTTATGTTTTCCTGTTGGATATATATCCTATTTTTCATTGTTTAGGATGCGATGATACTGGAAATGAGATGGGCAGTGTATTTATTTAATGTCATACCACCCAGAGTTCTAAATAGTGCAAAAACAACTGGCCCCAGGGCACCTCCAAGGAGCGAATGCAACGCCAGGGGCCCACCTTAGGGGCAGCAGCACTTTCAGTTGCCTTCCCAGGGATGGTGGGACCACCAGGGACTTTACCAGGGTGGCGGCGCCCCTAGAGGCCCTGCTAGAGACGGAGGATCCCCCAGGGGCACTCCAAGGGACCATGGCGCCCCCAGGTACCCTCCCAACATCGGCGGGGCCCACCGGGGCCGTCCGAGTGGCAGCAGCACCCCAGGAGCCCTCCCAGGGGTAGCAGCGTCCTTAGGGGCCCTCCCAGGGGTGGCAGCGCCTTCAGGGGCCCTTAAAAATGCGGAGGCGCCAGCAGGGGCTTGATCATAGTGTCCTACATATATCTAATGTCAAGGAATCCCTTTCTTAACTGTGATTGGTGGACTAAAATGTAAATCCACCATATTACAGCCAATAGGAGAACAGAGCAATCAGTCAGCACAACACCCCAACTTATGTTTTCCTGTTGGATATATATCCTATTTTTCATTGTTTAGGATGCGAAGATTCTGGAAATGTGACGGGCTGTATGTATTTTTTTAACGTCATATCGCCCAGAGTTCTAAATAGTGCAAAAACAACTGTTCCCAGGGCACCGTCCAGGGGCGAAGACTCCCACCTTAGGGGCAGCGATGCCCCCAAGTCCCCTCCCAGATGTGCTGGCATCACTAGGGATTCTCCCAGGGGTGGCGGTGCCCCAAGGGGCCCTGCCAGGGGCTGGTGATCTCTCAGGGGCCATCCCAAGGGCCATAGCGCCCACAGCTGCCCTCACAGGGTCGGCGGCGCCCACCGGGCCCATCCCAGGGGCAGCGGCACCCCAGGAGCCCTCTCAGGGGCGGTAACGCCCTTAGGGGCCCTTCCAGGGGCGGTAGCACCTTCAGGGGCCCTTAAAAATGCGGAGGCGCCAGCAGGGGCTTGATCATAGTGTCCTACATAAATCTTACGTCCAGGAATTCCTTTCTTAACTGTGATTGGTGGACTAAAACGTAAATCCACCAAATTACAGCCAATAGGAGAACAGAGCAATCAGTCAGCACAACACCCCAACTTATGTTTTCCTGTTGGATATATATCCTATTTTTCATTGTTTAGGATGCGATGATACTGGAAATGTGATGGGCAGTGTATTTATTTCATGTCATATCACCCAGAGTTCTAAATAGTGCAAAAACAACTGGCCCCAGGGCACCTCCAAGGGGCGAAGGCGACCCTAGGTGCCCACCTTAAGGGCAGCAGTGCCCTCAGGGGCCATCCCAGGAATGGTTGGACCCCCAGGGACTCTACCAGGGTGGCGGCACCCCGAGGGGCCCTGCTAGATATGGAGGATCCCCCAGGGGCCCTCCCATGTTCCACAGAGCCCTCCAGGTACCCTCCCAGGATGGGTGGGGCCCACCGGGGCCGTCCCAGGGGCAGCGGCACCGCAGGAGCCCTCTTAGGGCGCGGCAACGCCCTTAGGGGCCCTTCCAGGGGTGGTAGCGCCTTCAGGTGCCCTTAAAAATGCAAAGGCGCCAGGAGGGGCTTGATCATAGAGTCCTACATAAATCATACGTCAAGGAATCCCTTTCTTAACTGTGATTGGTGGACTAAAATGTAAATCCACCAAATTACAGCCAATAGGAGAACAGAGCAATCAGTCAGCACAACACCCCAACTTATGTTTTCCTGTTGGATATTTATTCTCCTTTTCACTGCTCAAGGAGGTGATGATACCGGATATGCGATGGACGGTGTATTTATTTAATGTCATATCACCCAGAGTTCTAAATAGTGCAAAAACAACTGGCCCCAGGGCACCTCCAAGGAGCGAATGCAACGCCAGGGGCCCACCTTAGGGGCAGCAGCGCTTTCAGTTGCCTTCCCAGGGATGGTGGGACCACCAGGGACTTTACCAGGGTGGCGGCGCCCCTAGAGGCCCTGCTAGAGACGGAGGATCCCCCAGGGGCACTCCAAGGGACCATGGCGCCCCCAGGTACCCTCCCAGCATCGGCGGGCCCACCGGGGCCGTCCGAGGGGCAGCACCACCCCAGGAGCCCTCCCAGGGGTAGCAGCGTCCTTAGGGGCCCTCCCAGGGGTGGCAGCGCCTTCAGGGGCTCTTAAAAATGCGGAGGCGCCAGCAGGGGCTTGATCATAGTGTCCTACATATATCTTATGTCCAGGAATCCCTTTCTTAACTGTGATTGGTGGACTAAAATGTAAATCCACCATATTACAGCCAATAGGAGAACAGAGCAATCACTCAGCACAACACCCCAACTTATGTTTTCCTGTTGGATATATATCCTATTTTTCATTGTTTAGGATGCGAAGATTCTGGAAAGGTGACGGGCTGTATGTATTTTTTTAACGTCATATCGCCCAGAGTTCTAAATAGTGCAAAAACAACTGTTCCCAGGGCACCGTCCAGGGGCGAAGACTCCCACCTTAGGGGCAGCGATGCCCCCAAGTCCCCTCCCAGATGTGCTGGCATCCCTAGGGATTCTCCCAGGGGTGGCGGCGCCCCAAGGGGCCCTGCCAGGGGCTGGTGATCTCTCAGGGGCCATCCCAAGGGCCATAGCGCCCACAGCTGCCCTCACAGGGTCGGCGGCGCCCACCGGGCCCGTCCCAGGGGCAGCGGCACCCCAGGAGCCCTCTTAGGGGCGGTAACGCCCTTAGGGGCCCTTCCAGGGGCGGTAGCACCTTCAGGGGCCCTTAAAAATGCGGAGGCGCCAGCAGGGGCTTGATCATAGTGTCCTACATAAATCTTACGTCCAGGAATTCCTTTCTTAACTGTGATTGGTGGACTAAAACGTAAATCCACCAAATTACAGCCAATAGGAGAACAGAGCAATCAGTCAGCACAACACCCCAACTTATGTTTTCCTGTTGGATATTTATTCTCCTTTTCACTGTTCAGGGAGGTGATGATACCGGATATGCGATGGACGGTTTATTTATTTAATGTCATATCACCCAGAGTTCTAAATAGAGCAAAAACAACTGGCCCCAGGGCACCTCCATGGAGCAAAGGCGACCCCAGGGGCCCACCTTAGGGGCAGCAGCGCCCTCAGGGGCCATCCCAAGGATGGTGGGGCCCCCAGGGACTTTACCAGGGCGGCGGCGTCCCTAGGGGCCCTGCTAGATATGGAGGATCCCCAGGGGCCCTTCCAAGGGCCGTGGCGCCCCCAGGGACCCTCCCAGCATCGGCGGGGCCCACCGGGACTGTCCCAGGGGCAGCAGCACCCCAGGAGCCCTCCCAGGGGTAGCAGTGCCCTTAGGGGCCCTCCCAGGGGCGGCAGCGCCTTCAGGGGCCCTTAAAAATGCGGAGGCGCCAGCAGGGGCTTGATCATAGTGTCCTACATATATCTTATGTCCAGGAATCCCTTTCTTAACTGTGATTGGTGGACTAAAACGTAAATCCACCAAATTACAGCCAATAGGAGAACAGCAATCAGTCAGCACAACACCACCAACTTATGTTTTCCTGTTGGATATTTATTCTCCTTTTCATTGTTCAGGGAGGCGATGATACTGGAAATGCGATGGGCGGTGTATTTATTTAATGTCATATCACCCAGAGTTCCAAATAGTGCAAAAACAACTGCTCCCAGGGGCGAAGACTCCCACCTTAGGGGCAGCGATGCCCCCAAGTCCCCTCCCAGATGTGCTGGCATCCATAGGGATTCTCCCAGGGGTGGCAGCGCCACGAGGGGCCCTACCAGGGGCGGGTGTTCTCTCAGGGGCCATCCAAAGGGTGGCAGCTCCCCCAGCTGCCCTCATAAGGTCGGCGGCACCCACCGGGGCCGTCCCAGGGGCAGCGGCACCCCAGAAGCCCTCTCAGGGGCGGCAACGGCCTTAGGGGCCTTTCCAGGGACGGTAGCACTTTCAAGGGCCCTTAAAAATGAGGAGGCGCAAGCAACGGCTTGATCATAGTGTCCTACATATATCTTACATCCAGGAATCCCTTTCTTAACTGTGACTGGATGACTAAAATGTATATCCACCAAATTACAGCCAATAGGAGAACATAGCAATCAGTCAGCACAACACCCCAACTTATGTTTTCCTGTTGGATATATATCCTATTTTTCATTGTTTAGGATGCGATGATACTGGAAATGTGATGGGCAGTGTATTTATTTAATGTCATATCACCCAGAGTTCTAAATAGTGCAAAAACAACTGGCCCCAGGGCACCTCCAAGGGGCGAAGGCGCCCCTAGGGGCCCACCTTAGGGGCAGCAGTGCCCTCAGGGGCCATCCCAGGAATGGTGGGACCCCCAGGGACTCTACCAGGGTGGCGGCACCCCGAGGGGCCCTGCTAGAGATGGAGGATCCCCCAGGGGCCCTCCCATGTTCCACAGAGCCCCCCAGGATGGGTGGGGCCCACCGGGGCCGTCCCATGGGCAGCGGAACCCCAGGAGGCCTCCCAGGAGCGGCAACGCCCTTAGGGGCCCTCCCAGGGGTGGCAGCGCCTTCAGGGGCTGTTAAAAATACGGAGGCACCAGCAGGGGCTTGATCATAGTGTCCTACATATATCTTACGTCCAGGAATCCCTTTCTTAACTCCGATTGGTGGACTAAAATGTAAATCCACCAAATTACATCCAATAGGAGAACAGAGCAATCAGTCAGCACAACACCCCAACTTATGTTTTCCTGTTGGATATATACCGGTATCCCATTTTTCATTGTTTAGGATGCGATGATACTGGAAATGCGACGGGCTATATGTATTTATTTAACGTCATATCTCCCAGAGTTCTAAATAGTGCAAAAACAACTGCCCCCAGGGCACCTCCCAGGGAAGAAGACTCCCACCTTAGGGGCAGCGATGTCCCCTTCAAGCACAGGCCAAGGACGTAATTGAAGCCAGCAAAGAAGTCGTGTGTGAAAGCAGCACTACAAAACGTCCGAAACAAGATGGATGATCATTACACTGAACAGTTTCATCAGGCAGAATATGTGTGAGGCTGTAGGTGTCACACCTTCTATGCCTAGATTCTGCAAACGCCAACGACACTGCGACAACACGTCAACTGATGAACCAGCTGAATACTACGGAAGAACGGTGGCCATTCCACTCTTACACCATCTCCTGGCAGAGCTAGAGATGAAATTCACCCCCCTTCAGGGAACTCAGTGTCAGCCCATCCATCTTGGTAGCCCTGACACCAACAGAGGGCAGCAGAATACAAGAACTGGTTGACCTTTACCAGGAGGACCTGCCATCTCCTGGTGGTATCAAGAGTGAGGTACACACCTGGTGTGTCAGGTGGGGAAAAAAAAGCCAAAGAACAGGGTCCCACCAGCCTTCCAACTACACCGGCTCAATAAATTAATGCATATTTTAAGTTTGTGCAAATTAAATATGCCCCTGAAACCCTTCCAGTAAGAATCAGAATAACACAAAAACACCAAAATCGTACCTCAGAAACCCATAGTTGGAGAATAATTAGCATTGAAAAAATTTAATTAAAATCTTACAAACATCATTACGACCACTAATTACCCTGCAATCGTATCGTGGACCATTAGGAGCTAGTGATGTCACAAGCTCCAAAACGTTCCGTTATATTTGATGCGTGAGCAGACCATGACTACCTTAAGAGTTTACATGCAGTCGTCGTCTGCATTAAACGCAATCATCTATGAATAATGCGATTTGTGGTTATTTGGGCACTTATTCTTTTATTATATTAGCTCTTGCTTCTATATACTTTCACTTGCAACTGTCTATATTTCAGTTAATACTTTCAATGTATTTTAAATAGCTGTAATAACACTGAGGAGGATGGGGCTTTAAAGCTTACAATCTCACTTATAACACCCTCCCTCCGAGTTGTCATAACTTTAGGTGACGTCACAAGATGGTGGATAATTTGTTTTGAGTATCACTACAGAGAAGACTAACATCCTCTAGGATCGACTTACAGCTTTAACTGGGAGATATAATACAGTATTGTCAATACTTTTCAGTATCCGACCCCAGGTATACAATGAGATACAATTGTTCTGTAAATCAAACATTGTGATAGAATGGATGCAAGTTTTGACTAGCATTACATGAAAAATACCAAGTACAAGAATGTTATTATTAACTACAACAACCATAACAAGATGTACTGAAGGGATAGATATAAAAAATAAACAAACAAATATATAATAAGCAAGTAACCCTATGAAACCATATACTGTATAGGTTAAAATAAAACAACTATTTTTTTCTACTCAAGTTTAAGGTACAGTTAAATTCAGCTGTGAGCTGTGAAGAGAAAACTGTTTATCAGGCAGCTATTATTGACATAGATCAGACTATGGGGAAAAGCATCAAGATATAACAAAATAGCAGTTTTAATCTTGCTTATTGAGTAAATATCATTAAACTTGATATTATGCGTGACGGGGCTAATCACAGTTGAGCTCAAAGGTAAGAACATCAAGACACATTTTATACATAACAAACATAATTTCAAAACATAAAAATAATCTATTTACACTCTACACTTTACAAGATTACTTTCAATTATTTATTGAATACAACATTTAAAGTTTTATTGTAGTACCGTACAGTACTTACACAAATACACAATGACCACTATACAGTATTGCACAGTCCTCCTTAAAGATCACATTAATAGTGATGCTTATTCGAAATGCAATTATTACAAAACAATGGTACATTTTCAATCCATCAAGCTTCCTATTAATTTGTTGTCTTAAACACCTCCACATTCACCACGCTGAAGTTTATTAAAGACGTCATGGAGCATTTTGTTGCACAGAGCAGCATAAGGATTCATTTGAACAAGCTGTAAAATAAAAACATGTTGATTAGCAAACCTCATCATATTGAATTAACCTGACTGACAGATTCAATATTGTTATGAATTTTTGCTGTACTGTATTATCTTATTTCTCTAGTGAAAGGAAAGGAGTTAATGAATCCAATATGCAAAGTAACTGTACACTACATTGGGTTGTTTCACTTTCCATAAATTTTTTAGTTTAGATTCACGGCTAATATAAATTACTGTATTTTACTAAAAAGCAAAATTACACACCAGTTATGATGGTAATGAGTGTAAACTCAGTAAATCTGTACTTTGAGGACTACCTATACCGAAATTTTGAGTAAAATTAATGCTTTGGCCTAAAAAACTATTAGATGTAAGGTCTCTTCCAGGTGTGATGTTACCCCCTACAGTGCCTCCCTTCTGTCCCTTGCTATATTTATAAGCAGATCTATTTTTCTCACCTGTGCCTTAGCAAATTCTGAACCTAAAGTTCCAGCAGCCTGGAAATCCTCACGAGCCAAATCATCATTACCATGGAGACGGTGGATCATGGCTCTCTGGGTGTAAGCTTGACATGCAGCTCGACCCTTGCCTCTGGAGAGCTCTACAGCTGTGTTAAGGTCTGTCATTGCATCTGTTGAATAATGCAAAAGGAGAAATAGTGTCTGATATTGTATCTGGTGTATGTGTAGGTTAGATCAGATCAAATTAGCTCAGGTTTGGCTGTAGAATCAACTATAAAGCAGTCATATATTTTCTCATCAACCTAGAGGAAATATTGAGAAGTGTAACATTTATTAAAGTGAGTATATTTATAAGAACCCTCATTACCTTCAATCTTCCCTTGAAGTCTGCGTGCTTGAGCTCTGTTGTTGTAACCTGAGGCTCTGGCAGGGGCTATCTCAATTGCTCTGGTGAAGTATGCGATAGCAGCCTCTACATTTCCAGCCTCTGCTGCCTTTACACCCTCAATTTCTTGAGCTTTGGCTTCCTCAGTTTCAGGTGTTATTTCATCAGAATCTAATTAGGAATGAAAATCCATCAGTGATATTTGCATTAAAGATTAGTATTTGTTTAAATGTACATGAGTTAACACTGGTATAATAAACATTGGAGCTCTGAGGTGGAGAGTCTGCACAGTAGCCACCCTTGGACCTCTGAGAGAGGGTCAACCTTAACGTTGACCTGCCTAGACTTACACCCAGAGCAGTCAATATGCGTGACAAACCAGGGACAGCCATGTCCTGGATTTAAAAAAAAAAAAGGAACAACTAGATTTTCGATCAAAAACACTTTATCTCTCAGAATTAAAATTTAATGTGCCTAACTACTTAAGAACATCCAGAATAACACATAAACACCAAATAGTGACCTTGATAAACCATAGGAGGAGAGCAATTAGTGTTATAAAAGTAATTCAAATATTTAAAAAGTAATGTACTGTAGTGTACTGTAATTATACAGATGTCAAATTGCACACAACAGATCCTTAATCAGCATGTTCAGGAGTACATATATTGAACAAGGCAAGATCAAGCAACAATAAACTTAGGAATATGGCCATAATTATAAACAGTCAGAAAATTTCACAAGACTACGACTGTAATGACCATCGATATTGACGGCCAGGAAATCAAAGGAAGAAGCATGTACACTGCAGACATGTGGTAATAATAATAGTAAGTATTATTGACGACTTCACCACTGCTGATTTTTCATAGAAAACGAATTTAAAAACACCGCAATTTTACTGTGTTTTATAGTAGACACTCGTAGTTATGGCAAATGTGTTAGTATATATTTAAATGTTCAACCTAACCTAACCTAACCTTAAACTAACCTAACCCACCCAAACCAAACCAAAAAAATTATTAGCATATCAGAATTCACTGATGCAAATATACAGTGGGGTATGCTATAACGAACGTAATTGGTTCCAGAACCTCGTTCGTTATAGCATTCGTTCGTTATAGGATTAATCCGTTCCAGGCCCCCAAATAAAACCGCTTAACACTGAAAAAATTCTGTGGAAAATGTAAAAAATACGGTACTTTATCTTACCTTAGTGTTATTCAGCATGCAGGTACCCCTAAACACTGGCACATCACTATCACTTCCACTGGGAGTCTTGGCTTTAAGGTCCTCAAACAATTGTTTAGCCTTCTCACAAATTATAGCTTCACTAATGTTACCACCTGCCATTTCTTTCTCCTTTATCCACACTAAGAGTAAATTTTCCATCTCTTCAATCACATTACACCTTGCTTTGCTAAGTCTAAAGATTCCCTTAGCCACTTGCACAGTTTTTAACTCCTCTTTATTCTTCAAAATCGTACATATAGTCGATTTAGCCATCCCATATTCATCACTAAGTTTCGCAATGCTTCTTCCATTCTCACGTTTCTTTATAATTTCTTTCTTAGTTTCAAGGGTTATTAGCTTTCTCACTCGCTTTGGACGACTCATTGTTACAATTGTATACTTGTATAACAAACTAGTTATACAAATAACGCGAATTTCCACATCAAAAGACGAAATTTCAACAATAACAGTGGTGCACTGGCTACACAATGAGACAAAGATGGCGCCTGACGCTCTTGTTGTGGGTCGCGGTACAACAATATTCATGCGCCAGGCGAAATAGTCCGGTATTCATCCGTGTTCGTTGTAGGAGTTGCGTTCGTTATAGCATTCTCAATTTTATAGGTAAAACCGTTCGTTATAGGAATATTCGTAGTAGGATCCGTTCGTTATAGCATACCCCACTGTAGTAAAAATACAAACAAAACAAATAAGGCGTCGACAGTGTAGTCGTCAATATTAGCCTAAGTAATAGTAAGAGTAATAGATTACGTCAATTTATAGTATCACACTGGTCTTTATTTCGATACTAAAAATAGGTTTGTTCTATGTATTTTGCTGAATTTCGAACGAATTTGATATTCAATTCCACCGTATATCATGTGTTTTTTAGATACCCCCCCCCCCACCCAACAATCATAAAAAAAAAAGTTGGATTTCTTTTTTAGAATAAATAACAAATTATATTACCAACCAAGCAAGAAAACCTAGCTTAACCCGTTGTTCATGTCTCAGATGCTTAAAGAGTGAAGACGGTGGCCTAGAGCGATGCGTGAGCAGGGGGTCAGACCACCTCAGCCATAAGTAAACAAATCATGGCAACATTTGTGACCGAATGAAAGTAATAATCTAGAAAAATTAATATCTCGGTTATCCTTAATTTCCAGTGGAAATATCATACAAGAAAAATGTCTTAGAATTGTGTAAACATTACGATACATATTTTTAATACGGAAATTAAGACTGGTGTGATACTTGTGACTGAGCTAAAGAAATAATTTTTTTTACAGGATTAACCTGTAGTGGATTCCACCCCTACAAGCGCCGTTTGTTGCCGAGTAGCCGACCCTTTTCGAATTCCCCAGCCTACGCCTCCAGCGCCGCCTGACGGAGCAGGGGTCAACTATCAACCCACGCCTAACCCCGCCTTATAAGACCTCACCCCGCTGTGACCACCCTCTTTCTACCTATGGCCACTAGCAAGCAACACCTCCTCCGCTCCAGCCTGGCGGCTCCCACCGGCGACTTTGGCGTCCCTCAAGCTGCGTGCCCTCCTCTGGGCACCCTCACCAACAGCTCTCTCTACTCAACGCTTGTAACCATGCTGCCTCCCCAGCACCAAGCTGCATTGTACATCCAATACAATATGTATACAGAGAGCACATTGTGAGTTTCCTTTCACCATCCCATCCTGAGTGTGAACCAATCTCATAACCCTACAAACCCACCAGGGCACAGGTCAGTGACTCACATCAGGGCCTGGGGACAAAAATGTAGTAGTAGTAGTAGTAATAATAATAATAATAATAATAATAATAATAATAATAATAATAATAATAATAATAATAATAATAATAATAATAATGTAGTAGCACTACAGGTTGTACCTCTCTAGTCCGGCAACCTCGGGACCTGACCGGTGCCGGACCATGGAAATTCACCCTTTTCCTGGATAGATAGTGACTTGTGCTTAAGCCTGGAAGCACTAGCACCACTTTCTCTGCATCATGGTCTCTTTGAAGACATATTGAAGGGTTAAATATCGTATAGTAGCTTCTCAAATTTCGCAAGTTTTTAATTCTTAACGTATTTTATTGGAACACAAAAAAAAATAAATAGATAAAAATTTTGACGGCGGAAACTTGAATTTCGATGGGTTTGAACGGCCCGCCAACGTGCAGACGACGTGCATAATCGTGTAAACAGCGTCATTTCTCTTATGTACAAAAGATTCATTATTGTTTATTACTGAATGTCTTTTTTATTGAATTAATGTTTATGTGTGCAAAATGAGCAATACAGGTTAATCCTGTAATTGTATGTAAATGAGGCAGAAAGTCAGATCAGCAACCTGGGACTTGGTCATAATTTTTGTGATGCCATATGGCAGCAGGGTCTACCTTAGACAACACATTATGCTACCGATATCTTCCCAAGAGGTAGTAGCTCCCTGTTTGATAGCTGCCTATAATAGCAATGTATCCCAATTTTGGGCTGCAATAGAAGACAAAATAATATATACCTGTAATAGTCTATTACTTTTCTATTACAGACACTTCTTTAACTCTTCGGTTGTCGAAAATTTTCTCATAATTACTGAATTGCTGCTGTCATTCAACAGTTTGCATTGACAAGGGAGTAACAAAAACCAACCATAACATGATTGTTTGTCAGACACAAGATATCCCTGCATATCTGTATTATTCACAAGAATATATTACTGCAAAATGTAGATAAAATAGGAACATACTGATGATTATGTAGAAACAAACATTATCTGGCAACCATAGCTCCTGCCACTCCAGGCTCCAAGTGTGGTGACTGGCTGTTGATCGTGCAAGTTGGTGGTCAATAGTAATAGATAACCAGTGACTGACTGGTTCTACATATAAAACTGAAGAAAATAAGACCTTGGTTGTAGCTGTAGTAAAATTAATATGGTTGTTTTAAGTAATGTTATTTAATGTTAATAAATGGAACAATAGAAGTAGCTAACGATAATGGTAAAGAAAAAGAGAGATCGCATATGTAAGTGCGCATGCGCACACGTGAAAACATATCGTCATTACTTTACATAAGAATATGAAAGCAACACTTATTTACTGTTCATATATATTTTAATTAATGTTTCTGAATTTGTTTTTATTGAATTAATGTACGTGTGTGCAAAATTAACAATACAATTTATTAATAATACGTGGAATATTAGAGGAGACGAGACGGCTGCCGGCATTGTTTATGTTAAAGCTTACGAAACCAGTGACTGATTGGTTCTACATATAAAACTGAAGAAAATAAGACCCTGAGTTTAGCTGTAGTAAAATTAATGTAAAAAATGAATATGGTTGCTTGAAGTACCTGTAATGTTATTTAATGTTAATAAATGGAACAATATAAGTAGCTAACCATTAATGGTAAAAAAAAAAAGTGAGACTGCTCGTATGTAAGTGCGCACATGTGAAAATATATCGTCATTACTCTACATAAGAATATGAAAGCAACACTTATTTACTGCTCATATATATTGAAGGGTTAAATGTTGTACTCTGTATAGACAAGCAGAGAGAGAGAGAGAGAGAGAGAGAGCAGCCGAACTGCGGGATGTAAACAAACCTTAATTTCCCGCGGCTTTTTTTTTTAAGGGGATTAGCCCACCCGGGCATAGGTCACTGACCCACATTGGGGCCTGAGGGGCAAAAATTTAATACTCCTGTAATAATAATAATAATTCAGATAAGTAAAAAAAAAAAGAAAAAAAAGCTGCCTATCTACCTATTGGACAAACTAAAATCGTTCCGGACCACAGGAGTTTCCGGACCACAGAATGCCGGACTAGAGAGGTACAACCTGTACTACTATTACTAATAATAATAATAATAATAATAATAATAATAATAATAATAATAATAATAATAATAATAATAAAATCAATATAAAATTATAAAAAATATTAAATAAAAATATAATACTGTATAATAATAATAATAATAATAATAATATAATAATAATAAATAATAATAATAAAGGACCATAAAATAATCCATGGTGAGAAGTCGACATAGTAGTAGTGTTGTCAAAGTAGAGAACAATTTATCTTTATCTTCCTTAGCCAGTTGCCACTGATCGCTTGTAGCCGCTAGGCGGTGGTCGCGTTTGGCACTGTTGGCAACTACAACTATAATAATTATTGTTTTTTTTTTTTACTTTTAACCTCTTCACCACTGATCGGCTGTTAGAGACCCTGTAATTGTATGTAAATGAGGCAGAAAGTCAGATCAGCAACCTGGGACTTGGTCATAATTTTTGTGATGCCATATGGTCTACCTTAGACAACACATTATGCTACCGATATCTTCCCAAGAGGTAGTAGCTCCCTGTTTGATAGCTGCCTATAATAGCAATGTATCCCAATTTTGGGCTGCAATAGAAGACAAAATAATATATACCTGTAGTAGTCTATTACTTTCCTATTAGAAACTTCTTTAACTCTTAGGCTGTGGAAAACGTTCTCACAATTACTGAATTGCTGCTGTCATTCAACAGTTTGCTTTTGCAAGGGAATAACAAAACCAACCATAACATGCTTGCTTGTAACACCCAAAATCCCTGCATATCTGTATTATTTCACCATTCACAAGAATATACTACAGCAAAATGTAGATAAAATAGGAACATACTGATGATTATGCAATAAAAATATTATTTGGCAACCATAGCTCCTGCAAGTGCAACTCCAGGCTCCAAGTGTGGTGACTGGCTGTTGATCGTGCAAGTTGGTGGTCAATAGTAATAGATAACCATGTTATAGTAATAGATGACAACTAAAGTAATAATATTAGTATTATAATGAAGCAAAATTTGTTTAAAATAGTAGTAGAAACCTAGTGATAGACTGTACACTAGTAAACGCCACCTTCTCCCTTGACGGGAGTTGGCAGTCTGCCCAGTGCAAGGTAGGTATCTAACTACCTTGACCCAGTGGGCACTGTCTATTTACAGACTGACGTCAGTCACCTCTATCGACTTGATGTCTTGATGATCATGCAAAAGTTGTATCAGTGAACAATGCGCGCACGGGAATAAATTATTTTACTGTGATTAACTATATACTGTACAGTATATACTAAATTAAAAAATGTACTGGAAGGATAATTGAAGCACTGTTTCCTAACATCCATTGGTTATAGGACCATTAAAAAATACACTGCTGAATTTGAACACCACGGCATGATTTTCAAACGTTGAAATTTTTTACCTAAAGTTGGAAAGACAAGACGGACAGCTAACATCAAACTATGAGACAAAGATGTAAGCCAACTAAAATAAGGTATGAAATTTTAGAATTTTAGCATTGACGGATACCTACCTCGCAATTCATTAGGAATATCTTCCTCGTAGACACATTCTCCCACAGGCAACAGGGGGTTGAAGATTGAGTTTAAGATGGCTCGATCACTAGATGACGACATATTGGCCTAAACCTGAGAAAAAAATAATTTTAGACGAAAAATAGACAATGTGTGGTTGTGTGGCTGCAATTACATCTATCCTTTATGTGCATATGATAATTCTACTATTATTCCCCTTCTTAATTTCGACTTACATCTCGGATTCATATTTTATACTATTGTATTTCATTGGTGCCATTTATGCTTGTCCTTGTTATAACAAAAAAAAAAAAAAAAAAAAGTGGCATTCTAGGTAACAGTTTAGTAAGTGAACTAGAGAACCTCTACCCTGGTCCTATACACATTCCAGCCTTCCAGGTGAATTCATCCTTCGTTCTCCAGAGTTGGAGGAAAAGGATGCCAGAGTACTCTGAGTAAACCTGCCATGGTCAGTAGGAACACATTGGATAACGCACTTATACTGTATCCGAATTTGATTCAGGATGGAAGCAAGGACGTATAGTGGTGAGAAGCAAACACTGTAGATCCTCCATAATTATAGTGTCATTGCATGAAATAGGTATACAGAACATTGTTTAAACCTTTTGTGAAGGTGCGGTCCGACTAATTACCCAAATGTAGCTGCAATGAAGTCAAATAATGGTCCTACATGAATAAATCGGACTGCTAATCACTTCTCGACTAGTATTTGGTGTCAGAAAGTCACAAAAAATTGGAAAACTTACTTTAATCTGAGTTAATAGATCGCGTGCATGTACCGAGGGAGCGAGGAATTACCCAAATGTAGCCGCAATGAAGTCAAATGATGGTCGTACAAGCGTAATTCAGGCTGTGAATCACTTCTCGATTATTATTTGGTGTCATAAAGTAAAAAAAAATTGGTAAACTTAATTTAATCTGAGTTGTGTTGTGTTAGGTTAGATACATGCACTTGATCTATTAACTAAGATTAAATTAAGTTTACCAATTTTTTGTGACTTCGTGATACCAAATACTAGTCGAGAAGTGATTAGCAGTCCGATTTATTCATCTAGGACCAGTATTTGACTTCATTCCGGCTATATTTGGGTACATTTGGGTAATTAGTCGGAACAGTGAAGGTGTAGTTTAGGGCTAACACCAGGAGTTTATTGATATTCTTTATTTTTGCTATACTTAGTTTTGATGGTTTTAAGTATATTAAAAGAAACTACAACGTTCTAGTATAAATATAAATTTAAATATTTTATTTATTTTTTATTTACTCTATCCTGCTTCACAATTTTCCTCCCGGCGCCATTTTTGTTGTTTACCTCGTTGAATCCCTTTTCAGGAGACGTTTCCTATAATGGTGAACTCTTCTACGTATTCCTCCTCACCATTGATCATGTATATCAATCTCAATATTAAGTTAAGTTGTTTAACACATAAATTAACACGATAATGCATAGAACCTAATAAAACCTGACCTAACATACCCACCCTATGGGTATATGTTAGGTCAGGTTCAATTAGGTTATGTACTGAATAATAATTGTCGTTTCCGTTTCTGTGTTTAATGGCAGGCTGTACTGTAAGTGTGTAGAAAAAATGTCAATGATTTCTACAAACTCCTTCTGGTGTTAGCCCTAAACTACACCTTTCCCAAACCTTTTACAATATCTGATATGGTCACGTGTTAATGAACATATACAGTACTATAAGAACGTATTACCTAAGGTACAAAACATCGACAGTAAACAAACATGAACGATAATATATGACCAGCGGAACCCAGCAGGCTACCCTTCAAGGTCACAGCATTTTATTTTCTCACCCTTTACAACTACAAACCCGTCAATTGCAAATCACAGCAGGTATCTTGAAACTCCCAATTTCACATCAATATAACTATCCTAGGAAAAATATAAAATCACCTTAAGATTTGTCCCCAGTTCATTTCACCTGATAAACACCTTATCACTACCTGGGGTGGGGGGGGTTATGGTAGTTCGGGTTAAGATTAGATTTGTGTTAGGGTGGTTAATCTTAAGGTGATCTCAAACATATTACAAAACTTACCTCATTAACAAAAACCAATAGAAACAACCAGGAAAACTGTACACCTACCTACTAGTAATGTTGAATAGACACTGCTGCGTGGAAGGTGGGAGGAGTCGGTGGGTGGGTGGGTATGTGTGAGGTCCGTGGTTGGCCGGGGGTAGGGGCGGGTTTGGCCTTGGTGGCCGCTACACCACCTCACTGGCTGCTAAGTCACTTCCCACTGGTTAACGAGGAACTCTCAAACAGATGATAAACAATCTCATAAAACATCTTAAATATTTAAGTAACAAAATACATCAGCCAACGTCACTTCGATATTCATGAAGGGCAGAAGACCCTAGGCTGACAGATCTAATATGATATAGTGCAGTATATTATGAAATATGTAAATTGTTTGATGAAATCTAAGAAATGCCACAGAGGGCACCATGTGGCATTGTAGGTCGGTTATGACAGCAAGTAGGGATCCAAAGAGATGCTCAACACAGCTCTCTAGTTTGTGAAGGAGAGACAAACTGCATCGCCTCGCCAGAGGAGAGTTGTGGGGGGGAGGACAGAACGTAGCACTACTGGCAGCGTCAAAATAGAAATAGGGAGCAGTCCTAGGAGTGTCATATTTAGTTGAGGGGAAGGTGACGGTGGATGATGACTTGCTGCAGTTGAGGCCATGCAGGGACAGAGAGGGGAAGGTGGAGGGATCAGCAGAACAAGGGTGCCTGGCAGATGTCGGGTGAAGAGGCCTGGGGGGCAGAGGCTTTTGGGTGCTACTAAAGTATGCAGTCTGCCGAGCTGGAGAAGATTATGGATAATCCTACTCACCATGGTCACAGGTGATGGTCATTAATACTGACCTGAACTGAGGTTAGGTGATGTAAAATTGTAACATGTAATATTCAAAGTGTACATTGTTTACTCAATAAATTATTTCGCACAATTTTGTTTTATTTATATCATATAAATAGACAGCACGTTAAAACGTAAATATCTTGGTCGACCACATATTCTAGTGTAAACACGGTAGACCGAATACTGAAGATTAAAACATCAAGGCAGACCGCACACTATAGATTAAAACATCACGGTAGACCACATACTGTAGATTAAAACATCACAGTAGACCGCATACTATAGTGGCACCGGCTTTTGTCTTCAGGAACAGATGGACATTTGGGCAGTGCTGGGAGACAACATTGTGCCACTTATTACAATTACAGCACCTGGGTTCAACTACCAGGCCAACACCACCCCCATCATGGTGGTCTCTGATTTTCTGAGCACAGATGGCAGAGTGATGGCTACGTGAGCAGAAACAACATCTAGAACAATCACGTTGGCAGCAGGCGGTGATGGTGTGACCCCAATACTTTTGCTTTCATCCTCTTCACCACTGATCGCCTCGTTAGCCGCTTGGGCGTTCGGTCACGTCACTGATTACTTTTCCTTTTCTTTTATCCTCTTCACCAAAAGATCGGCTCGTTAGCCGCTTGGGCGATCAGTCACGTCTCTGTTATACACTGTTGGCAAGTACTGGGCATGCACCAGCTCCTGAATGAACCTGAACCTGCTCCAGTGTTGGTCAAGTCTGGTCTTGAAAGAGCTCACACTCAGTGCCGTCACAACACTTTCTGGTAGTTTGTTCCAAGAGTTCACAACTTGCACTCCGAAAAAGTTTGCCCTCACAGTTTTCTGGACTTGCGGCTTCTTCAATCTTTAGCTGTGACCCCTTGTGGGACGAGCGTCCGCCAGCTCCAAGTAAGGACACTCGAATGAGTAGTGTCCCTTGAGATGCTTATACACCTCAATTAGGTCACCCCTTGCCCGTCTGTAGTATAAGCTAGGCAAGTTCAAGCACTCCAATCTCTCAGGGTAGCTGAGGTGCCGAAGGGCAGGCACCAGTCTGGTGGCCCTCCTTTGAACATTTTCAACCAACTGACAGTCCCTAGCATATCTCGGGGACCAGACGGGGTGACAGTACTCCAGATGGGGAAGCACTTCACTCTTGAAGATCGTTACGAAGGGCGGACCGTCTAGATATCTAAACGACCTTTTTATAAGACCCAATAATTTATTTGCCTGATTTACCTTCCTCTCGCAATGACCCGAGAACTTCAGCTCATTGTCAACATACACACCTAGGTCCTTCTCACATTCAGTCTCAAATAGAGCAGTTTCTTCATCCAGTTGGGACATATGATACGCCTACTTACCGTTGGTATGCCCCAGGTGCATCCTCTTACACTTCGTGACATTGAATCTCAGCAACCATTTCTTCGAAGATTCTTGGAGCCCACAGAGGTCCTTCTGCAGCTCTTCACAGTCCGCTTGGTTCTTGATTTCCCGAAATAACTTGGCGTCATCGGCACACATTTGTCAAAAGACAACACAAAAAGTAGGCCTAGGATGATAGGGTTCTGCATAAAGTGGGGGAGAGGACTGTGTGGGCCTCACAGTCTTTGGGCAGTCCTTCCCCTTCCAGCTTGGAGAAGGTCGTGGCCCCAAGTGCTCCCGTTAGTGACCAAGGAAAATGGCCGCCTTGGATCGTTGTGTCCTGGGGGAAGAGGAGCTTGGTGTGAGGAAAGACGACCTACTGGCCACTCTGTTAAGGCAGCTGGGGCAGTTGAGGAGTGAGCTTGACACTCTAAAGGGGGAAAATAAAGCCCTCAGGACTGAACTCCTTCAGGTAGGTGTCCTGCCTAGCAGGACACCTGCGAAGGAGGAGCAGGAGTGGAGAGTGGTTGTCTCCAAGGGTACTAGGGTCAGACTCAGGAAAGCTGACCAGGGTGTGGAGTGTAGTAACCCCTACCAGGTGCTGGAGGAAGCTGGCGAGGAACAGAAGAGGCAGGACGGTATGGAGCAAGGAGAGGAAAGGGCAGTTGTATAAACCCTGCCCACAGGTAAGGTCGTGGTAGTTGGGAACAGCCAGGTGAGGTTTTTAGATAGGACTTTTTGCGTAAGAGATAGGAAACGTAGGACTAGGGTGTGTTTTCCTGGGGCTGGGATAGGGCATGTAGCTGAGAGGATAGATAGGGTTTTGTCAGGGGAGGGTACCAATCCAGTAGTGTGTCTTAGTGTGGGAGGAAACGACATAGGAAAGGTTAGGAGTGAGGAACTTTTCAAGAGGTATAGGGAGGTGCTGGTGAAGATTAGAGATAGGGGAGGGATCCTGATAGTATGTGGTGTCTTGCCTAGAATGGCTGTCCAGGGCAATTGCTATAAATTGCCGACTGGAAAAACATTGTGCAAACAATGGTTGGGCATTCATTGATAACTGGCAACGATTCTATGGCAACGACTACCTGTACAGTCGTGACGGAGTACACTTGTCTCGTGCGGGGGTAAAGACGTTGTCTGCATCCCTGGAGCGTGAAATTGTTACTCCAAAGGGGGGGGGGTTTCGCCAGTAGAGAGAGGTCGGGGTAAGTGGGAGTCAAAAAACAAGCTGGTCCTGGGAAGTAAAATTGGTTACTCAGGACAAGGAGTAAAACAGGACCAGGGAAGGGTAGGTTTAAATGTATACTATACAAACAGTAGGAGCGTTCGAAATAAAATAGACTGACCAGCCGACACATGATCCCTTCAGAAAAATACAAAAATATTTCAACACCAGTATGCCTTAAGTATTGTACAATTAGGAAAGGATTCAGAGAAATTAACACATTATATAATAAAGATTTATTTATAGTACAATATTTACAAAATTGGTTAAAGAAAATATTCAAATATTCTGTTATTTCAAGTCAGATGTGGGGTAAACTTTCTCGACCTTCTGGTAAGAAATAAGAATGATTGTGTCTGAGGAGAACACAAAGTCATTCCTTTCATGATGTAAAAACAAGAAAATACCCTTTACAGTTAATTTTAAATGCAAATTCAAGCATCGTGTTCAATATTATTAACAACTACAGTACTAACTTGAGGGGTAACAACATCAATTGACTAATTTGTGTCAATTAAATACTGGCATATTATTATTCTTCAACACTACACTTTCATATTGTGCTTTGCTCGATAATAAATAAAACAAACTCATCTGTATTAACAATACGGTACTTTCTGCATTTAAAACTACCTTTTGATGATGATTTAATACTGTACAGTAGACAGATCCTTAAAACAGGAGGAAAATTTTTGGTTGTGAATCAAATACTGTAGGCACTAAAGTAGTCCAAAGAGGCTGCAGCCTAACTAGACCAGCCAACATGATCAGTGTTCATATCCCCGAGCCCCAATCATAAAGGTTATACAGAACAGTGTACCGTAGTACAATATAAGGCTGGAGCTATTCAGACTGAGCCCATTTGATAAGGTATCAAACTTTTCAAAACAGCAACAGCTCTTGAAAAGGGTTAGTCATGTCAATATTATCATATACTGTACTGTATTTGTGTGGCAGACTAAACTGTTTAAAATTTAATAAAAATTTTCAGTATGGTAGCTTTATGTTATCTACTTGCCATGGATTGATTTACCCTGTACTCTCAAAATCTGAATCACTTAATCTTAAGAAATTAATTTTTTTTTAAAAAGCTTTAGAGGTATAGAAACTCATAAATCAAATTACACTGTACCTTCATTAATATGGATCGTTATACAGGTAGTTCGGATTTCGGCTTAATTCGTATGTTATTTCTTTTTTAATGAATTAAACAATTTGAGTTCAGAATGAATCTGAAATAACTAAGTGGTTCTAAAAAATCGATTATAGGAATATATTACAAAATAAATTAAGATGACTGAATTACTGTACTGTATAGGAATAGAACATGAATTATACAAAGATAATGTACAAAACTACATTTATTGTGTTGCCCGGGAGACAAGGTGGCAGAGGAGAGGAGAAAGGACAACTCACCTCCAACGCTGATCTGTCCCACTGACCTGCTCTCCATAACATTGTTGCCAGCACTCACCATCTCTCAAGCACCATTGTTGTCACTGCTCAAGAGGAATGGTGCTTACCACAGGATCAGTCTTGAGCACTTAGTAAATAATATTGTAGCATATTTCAGAAGTTAACAAATATTATTGAAGCATTTATGCATCTCCATATGCCCTGGTTTATTCACTGATTAGTTGTCTAAGTGTAAAAGTAGTCAAATCAAGCCATCATGTATTAATTAAATTTAAAATAAAAATCAGAAATTAAAATGTCATAATGGCTTAGTAGTGCTGTTACTGTGTATGCTATACAAGTGCCTTGTCATGTCACCTCACCCCTCGCCTTGCAGTGTTACATTTAGTTATTACTGTACAGTGTTATATATTTTATCATTACTGTATGTACATTTATAAAATATTTATGTTTTGCACAATAATAATAAATAGATAATATTCCAAACTCGGTTAATTCGTGTGACCCAGAGCCCCCCCTTTTTGTCAAACTAACGAGGGTATAGTGTACAATGGAAAACTTATCTTCAGCATAACCAAAACACTGGGAGAAGAAAGACCTCAGACTGTACTAACATTTAAACATGAATCCAACATACTGTACTGTATTATTATTCTCATCATAAAAAAAAATAAAAAAATCAAATAAAATCATGTTGTAAAACTTGTCCTATAACACAAATGCTGGAAATTTTAAGGGGAAACAATACAATCTTGTACAGTCCCCCAAAAAGTATCGCAAGATTTCCAGTTGCTATAATTTGAAACACTCAACAAAATTCTTTGATGTGACCCCCAGTGCATCATCATAAGTTGGTACACCTGCTGGCCATATCAGCAACAGTTAAAGATGAGGTAGGATTGGGGGAGGGGGTCATCCTTGTATGGCATACTAGATCACTTCAGTATGTCTCGTGCTGGGTCGAAGCATGGCATATCTAAACAAGCCACTGACATGATTACAATAACGCTGAAATATACATTAAATGAAAGTGTTTCAAAACATTATAACCAAGACTTGAGACAGGCCTGAAAACGGACATTTCATCATTAGGTCGTCATACTAACGGGTTTCATTCATACCGAGTTTCAAAATATGCCTACTCATGTTGTTCATGATATATTTGATTTATGAAGTGACTTAGGAAATAGTGCTTGATATTATGAGTGAATAGCTACAGCAATATACAATGTATCGGTCTACACGGATCTGCTATGTTAATTGCACTGGTTTAACACCAAAAGAAATAAGGTTTCAAATCAAGGAACTTGCATGCAACAAACCCCCCCCCCATTCACCTATTGTAAGACATTTGTGGATGTCAGTTTCAGTATGGCACCAGTTGTTTCATAGCGCCTAATCCATCATGATACTATGGGTTTGCTCACTCCAGTGCGCTGTGTCATTTCAGCAATATGTATAACCTCGTTGTGAAGGGCAATGATAGCACCTCTCTTTTCTGGCAATATCTCCTCGATAATTCCTCGCTGTGTACGATGTAAGATCCCATTGTTGACTGGCATGGCGTTGGTATCCATTTACTACAGTCACACCAAGTCAAGTAATAAATGATCTGAAGCCTCGGAGGATTCATATCGTTCTAAAATGTATAAACTCATTCAAGCTCTAAGGTCATAGATGTAGAAGTACTAACTGCTCAGAAACATGTTGAGTAACACTACTAGGGAAGCCTCGAATCGCATCAGCCCCATGGCTAATGATACTTTTTGGGGGGACTATACATATGATCATTGAGACAAATTCTTGCAACCATACACAATGGTGAATCCAAAAATATTGAGTCATTATCAGGAAAACTACTACAGTATTACCAAAGTGTACCATTAACACCAACCTATTTTTGAGTCTATATCAGGAAAAAATAGCAAAGTACAATATGAAGACTGACCTATTTTGCAGAGGATTGTATATGAAGTACGTACTGGTACAAATTTCAAACACTGTGTACTGTATTGTATTTAATTAATGTACTACACCAATTCAATATACAGACCATACCATATTTAGTTTTACCTTTATTTTTAATGGCTCACATTTCACAATCTGATACAATATTTTGTTCATATTTCATTTTACTATTTTTGCCACAAACTTTCCATCTTTAAATACTTATAACTGAATCCTCCAGTTCCAAGCTGCTTAGTGCCCAACTTCCTTGATCTGAAGGTTCTAGTATCACTACTATACTATATTTTGTTTCTTTGCCTCATAAGCCAGAAACTTGTGTTCTTTTAGTGATAAAGTTTTCCTTTGGTTTTATTATGTCCAAATGTCACATCCTCAACTAAACTCTACATAAACCAATGGCCATGGTACACACTATTAAATACTTATGATGAAGCTAGGCAATTTCCAGTTTAATTAGCCAGTATTGATTCATAGACTTTCCTAATGAAATTTAAAACCATCTTCCCAAAAAAACTGAGAACTTCTTTTAACATACAGTATGTTTTATCATACACATTTCACTGGCCTTGGGATTTCTTTTACTCTATGCAAGGACTGCTACTCAACACAAATTACACAATACAATATAGTACTTTTTAAATAAATTTAAAGCAACTAAAAATTACAGGGTACAGTATGTAATTTATAATTACTTCGGTAATGTCTGAAATGCTATTAGGAACTCATTTAAATGTTGGTATCTTATTCAATAATTTATGGTACAGTATTATATTTGACATCATTGTCTGTGTATGAAATAGTTAATATGCTGAATAACTACAAAATACACAGGAAATATATGATCCACTTTCCAAACAAATTCAATCACATTTTGAACATTCATACATAATATTTAGAATTTCACAGTAATACAAGTATAATAATTTAACAGCGGTAATATTACTTAATTCCACATGCACTTGAGGTCCGAGATATCTCTCTCTGGTATAAGTGAAGTTTTCCATCAATACATACCATCACCATTTCTGGCACAACATGGTTATTTCTGCTTCGCTCTACACTCTCCTGCACCTTTTTTCTTACAAATTTCCTGGTTGTTCTTTCTCTGAATTGTTTTTTTCTCTTTCTCTTTTTATCTTTTCTTAGCCTTTCTCCCTTTGGAGAAGTCATGCCTGGCTGACTATCAGGCAATCCCATATATGTAAAACCATTTTCATCATCTTCTTCTTCTTCTTCTTCACTTTTATCCTTGACCACTAAATTCTTTCTCATTTCTGATATAGCATTTTTCATAGCTGAATTTGGTCTGAGAAAAAATCCACCTTTGGAACCCATTTTGATTTTTTTCAACATCACAGTCTCAATACATGGTTCTTCATCGCCTTTATTAAAGGATCCACTTGGGACATATTGCCCTTCATTAGTACTATTTATTTTGTGAGTATCTTCAGGCTGTACAGATGTTGATACAACCCTCAGAATTTGAGTTGTAGGGCCATTAGCAGTTTGGCGTGTTACAGCGACAATCTTCTCCTCTGGTTTGAGAGTTGTGGACAGGGTATTATTAGCCTGCACATGTACCACATTGGTTGACATTGTGGTGGAGTAGCTAGAAACTAAGGCAGGAGGAACAATAGTTAGAGGTTTACTTGACAAAGGTCTCTGGTAATCTATTGCAGATTCTTGGCCCTTATATTGAGAAAAGTGGTGAACATTTGTACTGATAGTTGTTTGGGGTGAAAAATTTCTTGATAAATGTACACTAACAGGTTCAAACGGTGGTACAAAAGGCAGACCAGATGGGTTCTGGTTCTGATTCACTGCTCTGGATCCCTGAGAAGAATCATTTATAGAATGTACACCAAATACCTGTTGATTGTTAAATAATGTTATACCATCATTTTGTGAACAATGAGCTTGAGAAGTAACTAGTGATGATGTTAAAGATGAATGAATAGGTTCTGATGCAGTATGAGTCAATCTGGTTTTTAAGGGCATTACAGGAACAAGAGGCATTTGGGAGGGTATATACTTATTAGTTAAAATTACAGTTCTAGCTGCCTTTTCTGGTTTAACAATGTCTTGTGATTTTCCTAATTTTACAAAATGACTAGTGTTAATACTATTTAATTGTTTAACATTATTCATGTACTTAGGATCAACCACAGTTACAATTTTCACAATCTTTTTCTTTGAATTAACGATGTGGGTATTATTGGGTGCAAACTTTGGCTTTAAACTATCAGGAAACGGGTGAGAATCTTCACAGTCACTTTCCTCTTCTGAACTATCATAATCGCTCGTTTCAGTTTCAAAATCTGAGGTTGGTTGCAAATTTTCTTCACACTCACTATAAGATACATCAAATTCTGTTGCATCAGTCAGCCTACTCTCTACACCAGAAGTTTCCTGCCCACTTCCAGCACCCTCATAGGGTTTCACTCGACCAAAACATTTACAGCTTCCCGACTCAAGCTCCTGCTCTGATGGCTCAGGGGATGACATATTACTTTCTGATGCTGAAGTCATTGTAGACATAAACCCCATGTTATCAGAATCTAAATCCAACAGCCCTAAATCAGATTTATCTAAATTCGAAGCTGAATCAAGCTCATGTTGAGGGCTTGATTTTGTACAACCAAATTTGCCATCTTTATTAAGTTGTGGTGTAAATGACAAATGCTTAGTGCTGTCCTTCTGTAACATGCTATATTGTTTTAGTGTGTGACTATCTTCTTCATTACAGCTCATGCTAGGTTTAAAACCAACACTTCTGTCTTTGCACAATTTATAGTTTGATTCATAAGGACCATGATAAATCTTTAAATTGTCTGGAGGATTACTACTTGGCCTTGCATTTTGATCAAAATCAACAAATTCAACGACGCTTGAACTGTAGCAAAGATCATCATGTACAATGGAGTTATCAAGGATTCCACAAATAGGTTGCCTCTTTTCATGACTGTGGTCAGCTGATGAACAAGTTTTTCTTTTAATTAATCTAGCAGAATTGTCTACTTCCTGAGATGCAGTATTTAATATCTTTCTTGGTTTTTTAATGGGCCTTTCTTCAGCAATGTCTTCTTCCAACTTTCTTTTAAGTTTTTGTTGATCTGGTTCACCTGAGAATGGCTCACCACTAACAATTTCTATTTTTACATCTGTTTTTTCCATTTTATGGAGGAACTCTGGAGTCATCCCCATCTGATGACTGTCATTCTTCTTTTCTTCATGAAAAGACAAAGTCGAAAATGATCTTGGTGCATGTTTACCAACACAGTCTGTTGTCTTATTTAACTGTTTCTTGTTTTTTTCTGGAATTATGATTTGAATTTCATCATCAGAATTAAGTGATATTATGGGAATACTGTTGTCATCGTCACTATCATATGGAATATTAGGTTTCTCAGTGCTGATGCTTAAACTAACTTCTCCAGAGCAGATGGACGTGGTCTCAAGTGCCTGCGGTTGTGAACTAGTAGGCTTCTGATCACAACTTTTATCAATGTGAACACCCACTGAACCAGCTAATTCTGGCTCCTGTTTCACACACACATTTCTACAAGAAAAAATTTTTGGTAGCTCTCCTGTGTTTTTTTCAATGGGCAGATTCGGCTCCATTTTTACAGAAATATATTCTGTTTGACCTATAGACTGAACTAAACCTGAGGCACTTGGTAGCGGCAGGTCATTATTTGGCTTTCCTTGATCAAGACCAGAGCCACTATGATGTAGGTTACAGCTATGTTCTCTAACACTTGATACAGAAGTTACCCCAGAAATCTTTTTAGTCTTTCCCCTTGTATTATAAGAACCATGTTTCTCTCTGCACCGTCTACTGACTGTGGCATCATCGGTAGCTGTCACGGAATGTTTGATCTTGTCTATTTCTTTTCTTGTTGATTTCACATGATCTTGTCTTTCTCTTCTGTGTTTCTTCTTTCTCCTTGACTTTCTTTTCAATCCACTCACTTCACTTACTGAAGAACTTGAGCAAAGTGGTACTGTACTTAATGCAACTGAAGGTAGTGATGGAACTGCAGTTGACAGTACTGAAGTTGTGTGTAAAGTATTATACAAGGCAGTTGGTACAGTGGTAAGAGTACCTGTACATGGTGTAGAGGACATCTTTGTGTCTAAAACTGTAGCTTTTCTAGTAAGAGGAATGCTGGTTATGGGCTTCACTGTGTGTGCTCGTGTCACTTCTGAGACATGAAAATTTGAAGGATTTGAAGATGCCAATGACAAAGTATTAGGGGAGTGTACAGGGTGGGGAGGTATGGGTACATTAGCAGATATTGGGTGAGAATAAATTTGAGTAGTTGTCAATACTGAACCAACAACAGCTGCAGCCTTAGACTCATGAATATTACCCTCTGGAAATGTTTTGAATTTCTCTAGATGACCAGAAGCCAAGTATTTTGCTTCCAAACCTTGATTTCCATCAGATTTACTGTAAACTGGATGTTCAGTATGGCTTGTTTGGGGTGAACTTCTTGCAGTTTCTCCAAAAAAGAGAGAACTAGTGATGTGTTCACCAAAAGTTTGACTCGGGTGCTCTCGAACAGGACACTGGAAGAATATGTCATCAAAATCAACATCTTGCAACAGTGATCCAAAGTACTTACTTGAGGATCCATTTTCACTTGCTACTGACCTAATGGGTTCTGTTGATAACACAGTTGATTGTGTATCTTTGTCTTTCTCTGGTGGTATATTCTCAGTTCGTTCTTCAGGAGAGTCTTCTCTATGTCCCATCCAGCTGCGGATGTTCTCATAATCTGGAGACAACAGTATATAGTGTGGACTGTTGTGAGGTGAACTCTCAGATGAAGGTGAGTTATATTCTTTCTTCAAGTTAATGCCAGAGTTACCACTTGACTCCTGAGGTGACATACCAGACATCGTATATGAAAAATTTGTATCTACTACTTCCTTTACCAACTGCTCATCTCCAGTAGTACAAGCCTCTGATCCATCACATTGTTTTAAAAAGCTCTGAGGACCAGGGTCAACACTGTTACTCTCTGTGTATTCACAAGTTGAAGGTAAGGGCTGTAAATTATTCTCATTTTGTTTTCTTTCCACAGTTTCATACTCTGTGACATTCACTGAACAGTCTGATTTATTTTTTACCCTAATTTCTTCACTAGACAGACTGCATTCTTCACTTACCTTTATTCCATCCTGTATACACTTTGAATGATGAGGATTTGATTTATCATCGACTGTCTCTGTGTTTTCCTCACTCATAATACTAGCAGCACAATCAAGTGTGTCCTTCTCCATCCTCTTATCTTTTTCCTTGTTAAAACCAATATCAGTTGTCATGGACATAATATGTTCAGTTTCCATAGAATATGAATAATTTTCAGTTTCACTTAAGTGCTGGTCATTCACACCTGCACTATTTACATGATGCTCAAGTGTAGTTTTTGATTGTTCACTTGAGTCTCCTGTTTCTTGTTGTTGACTTTTTACTTCATGGGTTTCACTGAAGACCTGAAATGGTGTACAAACAACCTGTGAAGGCTGGCTATCTATTTTCTTTTTATTACATTTGTCTTTTACTTCTGATTCACTACAATCACTCGGTGCTTCTAAGAGAGAAGCACGAGGCACAGTGATTTTCTGGGAAGGTTGTATATCTTTCTCATTTTTCTGGAGATGCTGTATCTTTTGTGGCTCATCTACAGTCTGTGATCGAAAAGTTTTCATGGCTTGAAGGTTTTTAAATTCTTCTACAAGATCAATCGTCTCCTCACTCTGTGTAATTTTAACGTCCTGGGGGCTTTGCCTACTTTCTTTTGGATAATGATCTAATACTGGCTGGTGACTAGAAGTTCCTGCCTCATCCTTCACTATACCAGTATCAGAATCTTGTGCATCAATGGTTACCACATGAGAGATGGAAGACTGGCTATCTGACAAATACTGATTAACGTTCCTCCTGTCAACATTATTGGTTGAGCAAAGTTCTGACTCTTCTGACACTTTTGCAGTATTTTCAGCCGTTGTTGTTACTGTGCTAACAGCGTCTAACTTATTAACAGAAGTAATGGGCTTGTTTTCCAATTCTGTTGAGGAACTTTCATAACAGGTCTCGCAGACATCTTTTTCTTTCCCAGACGACACATCATCTTGAGATAAAAAGTTAGTTGTTAATTCTGGAATGTGTGAAGTATGATCATCCACCTTCTTTTTATCCTGGTTTTCAATTTCATCATCATCTTTCAATACCACATCATTTGCTTGACACAATGCATTGTTGCTTACATCATCTGCACTTCCTTTGGCATCTGATGTAGTAGTTCTCTCGCTGGGAACATCACAAGAAGAACGAACACCTTGCACTACAACTTCAATGTCCAACTCTTCAAGATACATCTCCGTAATCGACCAGGGATCCTGGGCAAATGAATCTGCAAAGAGTGTTCTTTAATGAGTTTCATATGAACTTAATAACATTGTATAATTAACAATTAACATCATAATACAGTACAGGTGAAACCAAGACTCCCTGATATTAAACTCCACAATAAACTAAAGAATATGATTTTTGGCCACATTAATAGATAATAAACTTTATCATCACATGAAAGTAGAAATACTTGCACACACTTGCTAATATCCTAAACTTACATACACAGTACTGTATACAGAGGGGGAGAATATTAACAAGTACATGTGGATATTTCTACTTGTTTTCTTTGCCCTTTCATTTTTTATTTCTACAATATGGCGAGCCATTCTCTCTTATTACTTCCCATCTTTCATTCATGTTACTCTATGCTGGAAAAAATGCTAAATGAATATGGGATTCTTCATTAAAGAGTGAATGTGTGTGCACATACATACATGTGGGCACGTGTGAATGCACATGTATGTGTGCAGGCATGTGTACTGTATGTGTGCATGCATGTGTGTGAAAATAGGAGTACATTACAGTAGTACCTACTAACATGAGGATAGATAATTAGTTCAAAATCGTCAAGTTAGGTTGGAAAGACTGTGGGGGGAGGGGGGGGGGTAAATAAAGCTTACCCATCCATATTAAGGGTTATTTCTATTTAAAACAATCCTGAACAGACTCAATGGTAAACACAGAAGCAGTTAGAAAGAGCAAACAGTCATCTTCCCAACTCAAAGGCTGAACACACCCTCCTAGTATTATTTGCTGATTCATATAATCAAATAACCCAACATTAAAAGAAACATTAAGTAACATATTATTACTAGTTTCAGATAAGATCCACTCAAACACTAACACACATACACACACAATATAATTGCTACTTCCCTAGTCTCTGCCACTCAGGATAAAATATAGATTAATACAGGGTATACTGTAATAATAACATTCTGTTCTATATACGTAGTAAAGTAAATTGTAGAACAAAGAAAAGGACTTGGTTCGTATAAATATTTCAATAACTGAATAACGAATTGCTAATAATCCTACCTGTTATATATATATATATATATATATATATATATATATATATATATATATATATATATATATATATATATATATATATATATATATATATATATATATATATATATATATATATATATATAAGAAATTTTACAATGGAAAAACATTGCAAAGGGAGGGAAAACTCTACCCTGTGATGTGGTGAAGGACATGAATCATGAGGAGTGTCAGAAGTTTAAGGTTTGAATCGGGGGGCTTAACAATAATATGACAACAATAAAACAATGGGCCCTGTAGGCAGGATGACCCATATGGGGCTCACTGAAGACTAAGCCTTTAGCAAACAAGGAATCAGTATGGTTGCCACTGTGCTATACTGCATTTGTTTCCCCCTAACTGTAAGGCTAGGTACTCATTCACAAGTGGGTGAATTGTGGGTCCTGGGCATGATGCAGTGACCCTTTTTCTCCATTATCCACTTACATCTTTTATTGTTTTACAAAAATTCATGACTGACATTCTAGTTCCCCTCCATTTCAAATTGTCCTCATTTCTTCATAATCTACATTGCATTACAAACAAACATCACTTAACTTTAAAGTAAGACATTATCAGTACCTCGAACAATCTCCTCCCAATCTTTTTGTGCACCAGCTGTATTTTTTCTAAATTCAGTAAGCTACCGAGTTAAACATTTTCAACAGACAACGACTCAACATACACTACAATGATCTAAGACCAACCAACCAATTCAGTACTGTATCGATGTTGTCATTAAATTTTTTTAGTCCTGTAGACCAAAGGGGGGGGGGGGGAGAGAAAGGCCGTGTGTGTAAAACTCACACAAGCATGGAGAATGACATAAAATGGTGATGGTGGTGATGATGATCTCTAACAAAAAATGGGATATCAACAGTACAGTATGTACAGCAACACTGCTTATACTGTACACACACATACAGTATTTGAATTACAGTCCTCAACAATGTTTAATACAAGATATCTGTGATTCATGTCTGATATTCACATTTTATAATTATCCATGACTAAATATATTTGAGCAATAAGGGGAAGTACTAATATCACTATTACCTTACTGTGTTTTACTAGATAAGTTAGGTTCTACAACATCTTAATAATGCCACAGTAAAAGTTTCACTTGAATTTTTTCTTTTCTTGTTTCTTATTAAATACACAACAATTATAAAATGTTAAGAATATCGCGCACGAAAAAAAAATAATAATAATAAAAACATAATAATATACACAGTACAGTATACAAAACAGGAAAACTTCATATTCCACCAACAAAAACTGTGGACATCGACGGATCATTGCGACAGTTCCATATGAGCAGGAAGATCACTAGAGGACCGAGGAGGAGGAGGAGGCTGGAAGAAGGTGCAATCCAGCCCCACCATCCAATACTGTTAGAGCATCAGTAGACCAGGACCTGTAACAACACTGCTGTTTCACACTATGTCCTCAAAACACCAACCTTAGCACCTATATCACTTCTCAGCCAGAGGAGGTTTGATTCACTGATACAAATTTCCATCACTAGATTCAGTCATTTATCCACATCTTTACATTTTATGAGATTTTATTAATTTTATCATTATATTATACTGTGTAGCAAATATTAAGTTACCCTGAGTTTCCAGTGAGATGTGAAACTTAGAAAAAGGACTACAGTATATAAAGTGTCTACAAAAGTGGATTCCAAATAATAATTATCTCAGCACATTCTATAGAGTGCATAGTATCTGCTCTTATAAACAACACTATTTACCTACTACAGGTAACTGTATTAAATTACTGTGAAAACTTTGCCTCACCATAAATATGAGCAACATGAATTTTAACACCAACCATATAAAGTGATGAGTCAACTCACTTCTAAGCTGGTGCACCCAACTCTGATTTCCCTCCAATCGCCTTGTGTGGAGGTAAGAACATCTTAGTATGCACCATAAAAAACAAAAACAAATGAATTAATTGAGGGAGACTTCTTCCAAAGTTGTTTGGACAAATGAAATGCGATATCCTTTAATTGTGCATAAACTGAACTGAATACAGTAGTGTAGAATTTTTTTTGAAATCTTTTCCGTAAAAAATTAATAACCGCACACATTCCCAATTTATACACGCATGCACACACACTTACTTTTGCAGAAATTAATTGTACAGTAAAGCAATTTCCATTATGAGCTTTTAAATAATATCACTTATTTGAAAGTACACTGCATTATAAGCAAGTGGCTTCATAAGCAATGCAGGGTATTTCTTCTGGTGCTATTCCACTCGTCACGGGCTAGATAAAATGCTAAATTGCCTGGAAGAATTTTGGATATACTGTATACCTTTCCAAGTTTTCCTTGACCCTTCTCCTTTCTTCCTCTACTACTGTACTGTATACAGTACATCTCTTGTACATTTTAATGCTTTTTGTCTACTCACAAGGAAAACTTTTTTCACTACGAATCTGACTTGTTTGACTGCAGGCAAAGTTCAAGCATGACAGAGAGAAAGCACACAAGTCTTAATTGGCATTCCCAAAAGCTGGTAAACACCATAAACTCCCCTCACACACACACACACCATATATACATTCAAATATTTAACATACCAAATCGTAACAGGGGAGAGATGGCTAGCCAAGCTATAATCCAGGGTGAAACAAGTGGAACAAGAAAATAGGTTTTGTAAACTGTGGTGTAAAGTTTGGTCAATATCACTTCCCCCAGTCTTCAAATATTAGGTACACAAGCACTTGGTACCTTTTTACCACACCTTGACCTCCAAAAGTTAATTCAGTTTAAATGTATATATATACTGAACTGACAATATCTGTGGTAAATATCTAATTTCCCAGCCATAAGAGAAAACAAGACTAAGAGCAAACTGATGCAGCTTATTTGCTTCACAGGGGTCAACTCAGTCTTCACCTATTGTGTACATGACCTTCAGTAGTATTTTAGTACACATGTCCTTGTGAGTGGCCATCCATCCCTTAAATTAAAAATATATCGAGCAGAACTTTGCATGTAGAATATGATACAAGATAAGTTTAATATCAATTCAATTAGTCCTTAAGTGTTGTATGCATAAACATTAAGTATCAATTTAGTATAAGTGATCATGTGACTGACTTTTGATGCCTGACCCCCTCAAAATTAAATCAGGTGCAAAATTTTTAAAGTACGTACAGTAGTTTAAATAGTACAAGTTCTGTCAATATTCAATCAACCAGTCTTCAGATATTGTGCCGACAATATCTGGCAGGATAGACAGATGTACAGTGACCCCTCGGTTAATGAACTCAATCCGTTCCAGAAGGTCGTTCGTTAACCGAAACCATTGTTTCAATGGGTTTTTGGGTAATTGGTTCCAGCTCACCGAAAATTTCCTAAATTCAACAAAAATGGTAGAAAAGTTCACTTACTTTGAGGTGTGTATGTAGAAGGCTCCTGGATGATGATGATGATGGGATTTAGAATGGGGGTGGAGGAGAAGGAAGAAGAGAAGGCATTGGGGTGGAAGAGAAGTCACCCCATGGTGCCATTTCACTCATAAAATTTTAGCTCTCTTGGTGTAATTCAAGATTATTTTCTTTAAATCAACACTGCAATGCATTATATATTGTCAATATGTAAAATATATTTCAAAATGACCAATAATTTGCTTGGAAACACAGAAAAAAGCATTTAGTTGAAGAGAGTCTCAAGCAAGATGTTACCTCCAGTGAAAACAGAGAGAGACTAACGTCTGTTTGCTGTGTTAAGAGGCTGGATGCCGCGCATTAAACTAGTCACTTTACCTTCAATTATGTTCAATAATTGTTAAAATGACTAAAAAATTGAATATTAAACTTTTAAAATTATTGAATAGTATAAACTTCTTGATATTTACTAAAATAGTAAGGAATTTAAGCCCTAGAACCGATTAATGTATTGGCGGACTGATACTAAAGCTGGTTGC